AAAAGTCGCAAACAAGTTTTTTCATTTCCCAGCTTAAGCTGAAAAGTTCCTGTAGTTGTTTGTAAAAGACTTAAAAAGTAACTTACATATTGCGGGATTAAAGCAATTTGAGCGTACGTGTGAATTTTGATTATTATTCCAACGACTTTTTAATAATTGTTTAACTTTATTTCATCACAAACTGAGCACTTTATTTATTGTGAATAAATTTTTCACTAAAACACCAAAAAATTGGCAGTAGTAGACTTAACTCTTTGAATTTGTTTCAACGTATATTTTCGTATATTTTTTGAAAACCACTTTCCCGAAAAGCTGACGAGGACACGACCTTTTTTCAGCAGGCAGGATACGCACACTGGAGCCAGGACCCGAAGCCTGTTACATTTTGGCCATTGGCAGTGGGGAAATTTTAGCAGAGATGCTGGCCAGATGAAAGCGAAAGCCAAGCAACACGTGCCGCCTTAACAGCTGTTACTTTCACCCACGACTTTCTCTCACTCTCGTTCTCTTTCCCTGTAGCAGTCGCTCTTAAGACGAAGGATTCTGTGACAGAATTTATTTATTAAACCGAATATATTTTATTAAATCCGCTAACCGTTTTTATGACACTAATATACACAGACACACAGGCATAGTGACATGTATCTAGGACTCACATGCAGCCAGTCCCTCATAAATTCATGTCAAACAGGGCCAAGGTTGGCCGTTTCCTTTCCTCAAGTTGGCGGAGGAAGCCACAGGTGTGACAGCAGCAAATTAAGTTGCACGTATAACTCACAACCCCGGGACTTTGCCTTCAAGGAAATTGCCTCAGCTAGATGTGTGTGTTGCCTCGGAAAAGTTGTCTCACACAAAATATAATGTGTACGACCCATGTCATGTATTTTACAATTGTTGCCAACTCCGTTTGTCATTACAGCAAATGACTTTGGCAGCAGCCAAGAAAAACCGAAAATAAAAACAAACCAAACAAGGAGCAAAAAATGTAAAACTCGCATAAATTACAAAGGCAAGCAGCTGCCACAAAATCCAAAATACAAAAAAAAATAGAGAGCCTTGACCATTGTCTTAATCCGCTTAAATTATGGCACTCAGGACGAGAAAAGTGTCAACGACTTGGCCAGCACAGTTCAGCGTTCGAGCATAACTCGCGATAATTCAGTTATTACGGCCCGAATGCCGAATTGGCCAAAGAGAGTCAATGAACGTGTTAACCATATATGACCCAAAACTCAAACACAATATCGGAGTCAATGCCTGTCGACGGGGAGATAACTTTTCTGGGACATAGACAGCCGACACAAAAATATACGATAATTGCACGCACACTGGCTGAATGAGGAATGAAACGACAACTTAATTTGACTTGACAAGTGGCAAAGGCCGTGTCAGGATCAGGTTAATCAGCAGGAGGTTAATGCCTTTGCAAAGACCCCAAACACACAATAAACCAGACAATTGAACTCGCCCGTAGGTGGAAAACTAATTTAAATTTGCGAAAACTCAACTGATTAATGAATTGTAATTTCTAATTCGACCCGGCTGTCACTCACTTTGTTTTCTTGGCTTTAAAGCATGTGCGTTCGTAATTGATTACTTAATAATTCATAATTGGTGTCAAAATCAATTTAAGGCATTAACTTTCTTCTCACTTTATTTATCTTTTTTCACTTCCAATTAAAAATTCTATCCATCTTACAGCAAACCAAGGCTTTGAATATTTTTACCTTATGTACTTCAAGGTCCAATTTAGAAAAGTGCTTGTTTACTTGTATGTATGTAGATGTCCTTTTCGAATCATTGGCATTGAAAGACTGTCCAAATATCCACCTGAAATATTTTCACATTTTCAGAATGTACATTCTAGCTGGATAAACTTTTTTATTTCCCGAAAAACTGAATGCATTTTGTATGAAATATTTTTCTTATAAAAGCCGAAATGTATGCAACTAGTTGGGGATGTTATTACGACCAGAATCATTTTTCATGCACGAGTTCCGGCTAGGAAAGGTTTCTGAACAATATTTTCTTCTAGCCTACAGGATAAAAAAAAATATTACATTAAATTGAATTTCAACAGAGGAAGTTTAACTTCAAATGCAATTTCTAAGCTCGGAAATAGGTTTTCGAAGGCACTGAAGTGCATAAGGACACGTCCAGGTAATGACATAATGAGTGTGCCACCTTTTCTGTTTGCTTTCGTTTCCAATCGACCAAATCCCTCACTCGCCTCCAATCGAGTGCACTCGTCTCGAAAGCCAAATGCAATTGCCTGGCTAAATCAAAGGCAGCGACTTACTCAGGTGTTGGGACACTAATGGCATCCAAAGGAATGCCAGAATGCAGAGCACCATCCTCACAATTTGGCGAAAAATTGAGGGGCAGGTGGCACGTTCGTCTCTGACTACCCGTTGACAGTACAAAAATGAGCATACGTCGTGTGTGCCAAGGTAGGAGTCTTTTCTGGTAACATTAATCAGAGCCCTTGAGTCATTCTGACACGAAGCTAAAACTATGCTAAAAGGATTTGTTTCGGGGATTTGCGAATGGCGAGATTGTCGAGCTGACAAGCAGTAGTTGACATTCAGTTGAGGCAATTCGCGTTAGCTTTTTATCGAATCAAGTCCTGATTTGATTAGGCTTCCACCACCACCATCACCCAAAAAACGGGATGATAAATGATTGACCAGACGGACAGTCGACCAGCTAGTGATGTCTTCGGCCATGTCCATCTGACAGCTTAATGCCCGTCGTCTGGCAAACGATTTGGAAAAATTGATTGTGTCCACGCTCACAATCAATTGCCGGAGGAAATTCGCCTCCCGAATGGCAGAGCAATAAACAATTCGGCAGCTAAAATCGAAATTGAAAGTGTGATTTTGGCTGGGTTTGCTAGAAATGGGGGGATAAAAAACAACAAACTGCTGGCCACAAATAATTTAAGCTGTGAAAGCCAACAGCAAGCCACACAAGTGTACTATTTTTTCCAATCGAATGCTTGTGCATTCTATTTTTTTTTCGCTTCTGTCAGGTAATATTTTCTCACTTAATTTATCTCAGGGAACAGGGTACAAACAACCAAACGACCAATGAAATTACAAAGTGCCTTGTCACCGGCTCTTAAACGAGATCCCATGGCTGACCAACCGACCAAACTCAAGAGACTCTGGCACCTTTCAGCTCAAGTAATTAGCAATTTGTATGGCTTTGGGTTTGGGCCATTTATTACGCAAAGCGCTTACAAAATTACCGCCCCCTCGGGGCCATAAAAGTTCAACACCGTTGGAACACCTCAGCGTTTCCCGCAAAAGTGTGCTACGAAAAATTTCTGTTGAGGCCGCTAACCGGCAACATGAAAGCATAATGAGTGTTACCTAAGCATGATTTATATCTCTACGCAGCTCATAAATCTCTGGACCAGTAAGGAAGACCAGAAAAGTCACTTTTGGTGACGAAAGTCAAACTCTCTAACTTGATTATTCCCTAGAAATTAAGCGAAGTTTAAGTTTATACTCATACATTAAGCTTAAAATAAATAATTTAATATTTTTTTTTATTACTTTATTTTGTTTGTAACACATAAAGCAATCAATTTTTTGATATACCCCAAAGAAGAGAGTTACTCATAATTACGTGCACCAATACAGAGTGTCAGGATGGCAAGGTGTAAGGTGTAAAGGCTCGATTCCGACACTTTGACCTTTCGGCCACAATATGCCCTCGTTAGTCAGTGTTTAGCAATTTGTTATCAATCAATAATAAATGTAAATAACATAATAATAAGAACAACAAGGCCCTGTCCTGATGCGTGGGCCGCAACGTCCACTGTTGATGAGCCATCGGAGCACAGCATCAGCTCAAATTGCCTGTAGGGAAAGTAAAAGGAATTTGGCCTAAATGAATTATGGCCCAAGGAAGAAGGCAACCAAAAAAAATAAAATGAATGACGAGAAGTGCAAAAAAGTGGAACGTAGCACGCGTCGATTCGATATTGTATTTTTTCCGCCCCATCATGGCAGATGTTTTTGAAATAGACAACGCCGCCAATTGAGCGAAAATCAATGGCCAGCCATCCAGTCAGTCAGTCTGCCGGCCAACAGATACAGATACAGATTCGTTCTCACAGATTCAGATACTCCAACTACACCCACAAAATGATTGGATATCAGCCAAAAATGGAATGATGAGAACCGGAGGTCTTTGTCTTACTCTTCACTTCACTTTTTTTTGTTTTTTTAACTGCAACAACTTCTGTATCCATTCCAGTTTCATTTTAACCCGCTGGCCATTCAGACCGGGATTCATTGGGAGGTTTAGATGAAGCATTCCGAGCTTCAAATCCAGAAAAACTGAAAACCAGAAACAGATACACATGCTGAGTAATGTGATGGGGGCAGCGATGGGGATTTCTAGTACAGGTGCACCTGTTAGGTATGTTCTTATCCCCCCACAAATTGCCGTGAGCAAGTTCATCTTATTCCAACTAATTATTCCATTTGTTTTGCAGCTGAAACTTTTTGTTATTTCATTGTTTGGCTGCCTCGAGGAGTCTGTGGCGTGACTGCACTGCCAAAAAGTGTTAAAACAAAAAGTTTCCTGCCTGTCTACCCAATTCCGAGCAGTTGCCGCTGCTGATACTTTCGCATCCCACATCTTTGTAAAGAAAACATATTGCACAGAGCCATGCAGTTTTCCACGAAAATAAACGAATTCTGTAAGCATCTGCTAAGTAACGCGTGAGAAATGGTGAAAATTAGTCGGAATTAAGTCGGATTTTAGTTTCAGATTACTGTAAGATTATATTTGTATACTTTGTGACGAGCTTTACTAAAATATAATACGTTCTCTTAAATGTTAAACAAGCTGTCATCATACATAATTTTAAAAATAATTTGTTGTAAAACATCATGGGCCTGCAAGGTAGTCATTAATTTAAAACTTTCAACTGTATAAAGCAACCAATTAAATAAATTAAAATGACCAACAAAGCATTAGAAAAGTTTAGATCAGTTAAGCCAAAATTATATTGGCATTTAAGCCAACACATTATTTGGACTGTGTGCCAAAAAGTTTGCGCATCAGATTATTTCACAACATATTTTAGCCTAATTAATTAAAAACTTCCAAACAGATTGAAGATAAATTTACAAATAAAATTAAATTATACATTTCGCAATGAAGTTCTTAAATTTAAATTCTCTCCACTTTCAAGTGAATACCGTTTTTGGTGGACAAAGTAAAGGTCTTATTAGAGAGAACCAAAGGAATTTCTGTTTGCTTCGAGGGACTAAACTTAAAACTATGCAACAGGGCAGCTAAGCCAATTTTGGACTGAATCTTGCCAAAACGCAGTCCAATGCAATTACGTGGCCCATCTCCGAAGGGCAAGTAGGCCATTGGATGACGACTGTTGGCCACTTCCGGATTAAAGCGACTGGGATCAAATATGTCTGGCTGGGGGTATACCTCCGGGTCGTGATGGATATTGTGAACGGGTATGAGAATATTGTTTCCTTTCTCAATCACAAATTCTGTGTCAGGAACCTTATAGTTGCGATTTGTTTCCCTCACAAGATGCGGGAGTATGGGATGTTTTCGAAGTGTTTCTGGGGGTTAGAAAAAGTTATATACGGTCTTTGTAGATTTTTAATTATTTTGCTTACCTGCAATGACTTGCTCCAGGTAGGTCATTTCGGCCAAGGCATCGTAACTAATCTCACCATCCCCTTTGCTGAGCACACGGTTGATCTCTTCTCTTACTCTATCCTGAATGTCCTGCTGCAATGCCAATTCATAAAGACAGAAGGACATTGTACTCGAGGAGGTCTCGAATCCGGCTATAAAGAACACAAAAGCTTGAGCAGCCATCTGTTCGAGGGTCAAGCCATAAGACAGATCAATTCCCTTGCCTTTCTTGGCCGCCTCTTGATCCTTAGCTCGAAGTTCAATTAACTGGTCTACAAAGTCGTTTCTTTTAACGTTAGTTTTCAGCCGATAATCGACGGTATTTTTGACGGTTGCCATAAAGAACTCTGTCACTTCGTCGGGCAAAACTTTCATGCCCAGCTTCCTGGCCAACTTGGCATTGGTAAAAATGAAGGCTTGAACCAGCTGATGATGTCTCGGCTTCTCGAAGATCATTCTTCCCTTGTTTCTGAACTCAGAATTCGGGTCAATAAGGCTGAAGCACTCCAAACCAAAGGCACAAGATCCAATGACATCGGTGGTGTAGCGAGCACAAAGATCCTTGATTTCCACTTCACCATCATCCAGGGAAGCGGTTTTCAGCTCCTTATCCATAGCCTCCACAAGGGTATGGCCTACTTTCACAATTATTTCGGACATTTGCTTTATTTTTCCGGATGTGAAAACCGGCGACAACATCTTTCGCATCGACTTCCACTCTTCGCCTTCCAAAGAAAAGAGATGGCCCGTCAAGGGATCATCTTTTGGGTTATTGAAGACTCCACGATCCTGGAAGTACTGAAAGTCCTTAATCAGGACTTGCTTAATCAGATCCAGATCCAAAATCATGGCTGTGTTCTTGAAGAAGACATGCATTCCGGCAAAGGAAGCCTTGCCCTTGAACTGGTCGTAGATCCTCTTGTTGACGTCCCTGAAGTGGTATTTCGTGCCGATGCCTCTCATGTTGCCGACAACTGGTAATGGGTTCTCACGAGGGACACCCCGGCGGGACCAATAGGTGTACGTATTAAGGTAGAAACTGAAGGCCAAGGCCAAGACCACGCCCAGTAGGAGCAGTGCGAACAGCATGGCGAGCGTTCGCTAAACACTTTCTCGTCAAAGTTGTAAGAAAGACTGATAATTTCGCTGCCAAGAACATGGTTTATATTCTTCACGAGAGCTTTTCCCGATATCTTATCAAACATTAAGGTAGTCGAAACAATGACGATTTGACACAAAGTAATGGATTGAATGTACTAAGCAAGTGTGCAATCTAATCTTCAATTTAAAATAGCACGCAAGGGGAACCGGTTTAATAGATAATAACTATTATCGGGGAAAAACGTAAAAAGCCTGATGAAATTTGTACTCCCACTTGGGTAAACGCTTAGAAATATTTCAGCAACTTGACGCGATCAGTTCGACGTAACGACTGGCAAGAATTTGTCGCCGGGCATGACTTTTAAATTGTAGTCCGGAGCTTTTTTTGTTAGAACCCGACTCTCCGGTTCTCTCTAATGTTCTCAACCCCGCATCTGATGAACAACAAATTGAATAAATACGTTTATAATAATGGGTTCCATTGTTTGATCTTGACCATATACAATATTCGTTGGGAGAGAGGGAATGACTCGACAATAATGCGAAAGTAAACGAGAGGTTAGTCATAACGAGGTTGTAGATTTATCTTTATACGGGTATTTTCCATGTCTACGTTTTAATTGATTTGTTTTTTAACAGTGAGATAAATATGTTTTGATGATCTTTCTTTTTTATTGGAAAAGTTTAAACAAGGTTTTATATATATTAAACCCTCTCCACTTTTAGATGCAAACCGTATTTTGTATTTAAAGTGAAGCTCCTATTTCCAAATATCAAGGGGATTTCTGTGCGCTTCGAAGGGCTAAACTTAAACTTCCGCAACAAGGACACCAATCCAATCTTGGACTGTATCTTTCCAAACCGCAGTCCAATGCAGTTCCGAGGTCCTTCGCCGAAGGGCAGATAGGCCATCGGGTGGCGGGACCTGACAGCCTCAGGGTCGAACCGACTGGGATCGAACTCCTGGGGTTTGGGATATATTTCAGGATCGTGGTGGATACATTGGATAGGTATTAAAGCGGAGGTGCCTTTTTCAATGACAATGTCTGTGTTGGGGACTTTGTAGTCCTGTTTGGCTTCCCTTCCCACGTGCGGAAGAATAGGATGTTTTCGAAGGGTTTCTATGTGAAGTCAATCAATAAGACTAAGTTTCCATAAGGTTAATTATTCTACTCACCAGCTATGACTTGTTCCAGGTAAGTCATATCGGATATGGCATCGTAGTTAATCTCATTACTCTTTCCGAGTACAGTCTCAATCTCTTCCCTCACTCGATCCTGAATGTCCTGGTGCAGGGCCAATTCGTATAAACAGAAGGCCATGGTGCTCGAGGAGGTCTCGAATCCGGCTATGAAGAACACAAAAGCCTGAGCAGCCATTTGCTCGAGGGTTAAGCCATTGGACAAATCGATTCCCTCGCCCTTTTTGGCAGCCTCCTGATCCTCGGCACGAAGTTGAATCAACTGATCCATGAAGTCGTTTCTCTTAATGTTATTTTTGAGGCGGTATTCCACTGTATTCTTCACAGCCGACATAAAGAACTCTGTGACGTCATCGCGAACAACTTTAAGCCTTAATTTCTGAGCCAGAAGCCTGTTGTTCATAATTAAGAAGTGGACTAGCAATGAGTTTCGGGGCTTATCGAAAATCTCTCGTCCTTTGGTTCGGAATTCTGCATTAACATCGCCCAGGCTGTTGCACTCAAGGCCAAAAGCACAGGTTCCAATCACATCGGTTGTGAACCGAGCACACAAGTCCTTAATCTCCACATCACCCTCCTCCACAGAAGCAGTGGTCACCTCTTTGTCCATGGTATCCGCCAGACGATGTCCCACCTCTATGATCACTCCGGACATCTGCTTTATTTTTCCTGAACTGAAGACAGGTGTCAGTTTCTGCCTCATGGCCTTCCACTCCTCCCCCTCCAGGGTCAAAAGATGACCCGTCAGTGGGTCGTCTCGGGAATTGGAGAAGATACCACGGTCGTGGAAGTAGTTAAAGTCCTTGATCAGCACTTGCTTAATAAGATCCAGGTCCATTATCATGGCGGTCCGAGTCAGAAATGCGAACATTCCGGCTATGGGGCCCTTGCCCTTGAACTTATTGTAGATCTTTTGGTTGATGTCCCGGAAGTGGTACTTCGTTCCGATTCCCTTGAGGTTTCCAATAAGCGGCAGAGGCTTCTCGTGGGGAACACCCTTGCGTGCCCAATAGGTGTAGGTGTTGTAATAAAAACTGTAAGCCAAGGCCACGGCCAGGCCCACTACTAGAAGCGCGAAAATCATGGTACGGTGTCACTGTACTTGTCAGACTCTTAAAAAAATACTAACAGTTTAGCCGTAAAGCTTGATCTATTTATACGTATTTCTATTTTTGCCGCTTTCTCATGACTCGCAAACATTTTAAAGTCAAACACGCTATCAGCTATGAGTTGAGACATATAATCGTCACCCACGATAATGAAAAAATACACTCTTCAAGTACTTAAGTACTTTACTAAAAGAACATTTTTAAATATATAATATTTTGATGTCGAAAAAATTTAACATACAAGTAAAATTTTAAATTCCAAATCTTTCAAATATATTTAAAAATATATTTTCAATCAAATGACAAACATATACCATAGTTTCGTAAAATTATCTCATAGTTTTTGATATAACCAATTGAGAATTATTTCTGGGGTTTTTTTTTTATTCTCATACTCATCTTATACTAATGCTACTGAGCACAATAGTATTTAGTATTATAATTTATATTTATATTTGAAATTTTAAATCTGAAAATTTGGAATTCTCGAAAGAACCGGAATTATTTTCTGTGTAGAAATACACTTGATAAAAACAAATATACGACTATTGCTTGTCTGTCGTTTTATTTGCCGAAAAGCATGACTATAAAAATAACTTGTGCTGGCTGTTTTTTCTATGAAGTATATATGAGTTTGTATAATTATACATTTTTGTATGTATTTTTTTATTACCATGATTAAGGGTTAATTGATAAAACTTGACCTAGTACAATACTTTTGTGGAAAGGAGAAACAGTGGGAACAAATGGGTTGTTAGAGTGTCTATTGTCTTTAAGAAAACCTTTATTATCTTAAGACATTTTTGCAAAAAGTGTTTTATAATTTACAACTCCCTATGTTTAAGGCTATAAAATTATACCCACAAAAGAAATCGATCAAAGTCTGTAAAAAGTCATTCATCTATAATATCATAATGTCCATAGGCGCAACCTGACTATTTAACTGAGGCCTTTGTTTTGGTTTGTGTTTGTCACGCTGCGAATTTTATGGCCCAGGCTGTCTTAGCTGCGACATTACGATTTTTATGTCTATTGGAAAATGGCGCATTAGTGGCATAAAACGGGTCGTAAGCATTTGGCCCAAATCCTTTAAGCGCAAACAACTCACACACACGCACGCCGCCACAACTCCAAAATGCTTTTAGCCGGGACTCTGCTTTATTATTTACTGAAGGTCCTGAAAAGTGTGGAGTGTCCTTGGGGGGGCTTGTGGGCGGCGGTTGTCCATCAGGAATACCGTTTAATGGGCCTTTAATCGCTTTCGCATAAATTTTCCCTCGGCAAAGCAACTTTGCAATAAACCTGGGAATTTCGCGCCATGCCAACTCCCCCTTTATTTTATGTTAGTTTCATTTCATTTGATTTCTACACTTGCTGGATTTAATTAAAGTCGGTATACAAAGGGCATAAGACGTCAGGCAAATCATCAGCACTCTGTCAATAGACTTCTATGTATTTCCTGTTGACATCGAGGCTCACGTTTCAATTAAAAAAGGCAAACATTCTGGGGAGTCGATTAGAAATGTGGACCCTTCCTTTAAAAGGAGCAGAGATCAAAAGGGACAGTATACTATAGGTCGTAAAAAAGTGGGAGGCTTAAAGACTTGGTTTAATTAAATTTTTCTTAAAAAACTTGCTTCATTTTTGTATGACTAAAAATCAATACGTTTGCTTTTTTTTCAGCATTACCAAGCAAATTCGCGACAAGTATCCGAATGATATATGAGCTTAGCTCATTATCTGTATCTAACCGGTTTTATTGACTGCCAGACAATGTTTTGACTCGAAAGGTGGTCCCCAAAAAATTACCCAAGTGTTTACAGATGCCTCACCAAATATTTCCGTTGGTATTTTGCGTTTTAAAAAAAAAAGAATGTGGGATTTCTTTGAAAGAAAATATTTCGTAGCTGAAACGTCATGAGAGGGACAAACATTTTTTTAAGACAATAGCATACCACCAAAGTATAATTTTTTAGGTTGCCATGCGGCTTGTATATTTTCACCCATTTTCACTAAGCGATCCATGGACATACAATCCATGGATTATACTCTTTCATCATCAAATAATAAACTTGCATCATTTTTTTGTATAAATTATTGATTACGAAGTCAAACAATTGCGTTCATACTTTCTTCCTCTCCTAATCATTACCAAGCTAATTCCAAACCGGAATAATACGTATACGGACTGAGAGTATAGCGCTTTATCGATCAAGTTTTATGACGATCGAGAATAGAAAACATTTCTAGCAGAAGATAGAGAAAAAGCTTTAAAAGCTCCGAGTTTGTTTATTAGGCCCTGCCCTCATCGAAAAAAATTTAGTTTTAAATTCAACGTTGCGGAGTAAATTGGCTTATTGCTAGCCTTTTCGGAAAAAGGGATATATATATTAAAAAACACGATATTAATTTTTGCGTAATTTATGGTTTTATGATAACGATTCCATAATCCAACGATTAGATTTGCAATCCAGTGAGAAATATAGCCGATTGCCATGCTTTTCGCTCTTCTCGTTGTGGGCGTGGCCTTGGCCTTGGCCTACAATTTTTATTACAACACGTACACCTATTGGTCCCGAAAGGGGGTACCCAATGAGGCTCCACTTCCCTTGATTGGCAACATGAAAGGCCTGGCCAAAAAGTACCACTTCAGGGACATCAACCAAAGAATCTACGACAAGTTCAAGGGCAAGTCCCCCATAGCAGGATTTTTTATGTTCTTCAAGCCGACTGCCATGATCCTGGACTTGGATCTCATCAAGCAAGTTTTGATCAAGGATTTCCATCACTTTCAAGACCGCGGGATATTCAATAATCCCCGGGATGACCCGTTGACAGGTCACCTCTTGACTCTGGAGGGGGAGGAATGGAAGTCGATGAGGCAAAAACTGACACCAGTCTTCAGTTCTGGAAAAATAAAGCAGATGTCCGAGGTGGTAGTGGAGGTGGGTCATCGCCTTGTGGAAACCATGGACAGGGAGGTGACCCATGCTGCCGTGGAGGACGGTGACGTTGAGATCAAGGACATATGTGCTCGGTTCACCACCGATGTGATTGGCACCTGTGCCTTCGGTCTGGAGTGCTGCAGCCTCAAGGACCCCCACTCCGAGTTCAGGGACAAAGGACGCATGATCTTTGAAACGCCTCGCCACTCGATGCTGGTGCAATTCTTCATATTTACGAATGCCAAGTTGGCCAGGAAATTGCGGATGAAAGCGATACCCGATGAGCTGACGGAGTTCTTTCTCTCGGCCGTGAAAAGTACTGTGGAATATCGTCTTAAGAATAACATAAGGAGGAACGACTTCATGGATCAGTTGATTCAACTTCGTGCCGAGGATCAGGAGGCTGCCAAAAAGGGCCAGGGAATCGATTTGTCCCACGGTTTGACCCTCGAGCAAATGGCTGCCCAGGCCTTCGTGTTCTTTATAGCCGGATTCGAGACCTCTTCGAGCACCATGGCCTTCTGTTTATACGAATTGGCCCTGCAGCCAGAAATTCAGGATCGCGTAAGGGAGGAGATCCAAAGTGTGCTTAATGGTGGCGAGATCACCTACGATGCCCTGTCCCAAATGACCTACTTGGAACAAGTTATCTCTGGTAATTAAAAAAAACTACTTTCCCTTCAACAAAATTTCGAATAATATTTTGTTGTTTCAGAAACTCTACGGAAACATCCTATTCTTCCCCATCTATTGCGTGACACAAATCTGGAGTACAAAGTACCTAACACTGACGTTGTTATCGAAAATGGTACTACTGTTCTGATTCCTGTCCACAATATCCATCATGATCCAGAGCTATATCCGAATCCGGAATTGTTCGATCCCAGTCGTTTCGATCCTGAAGTGGTTAAGGACCGCCATCCGTTTTCGTACTTACCATTTGGGGATGGGCCCAGGAATTGCATTGGCTTGCGATTTGGAAAAATGCAGGCCAAGATCGGTTTAGTCTCCCTACTGCAACGTTTTAAGTTTGGAGTTTCCAAGAAGACCGAAGTACCCTTAATCCTGGATACCCGCACTCCGACTTTGTCTACAAAGAATGGCATTCATTTAAAAGTGGAGCGGATTTAGTCAGAAAATAATGGCATGGCTATTATTTGAATTTTTTTATGTTTATTAACAATTCCTAAGAAAACAAACGATTTTAAAATTGTGATTTTTAAATCCTAACAGAACAATATTTGGTTCTGGTTCTATGTTTTAAATACGCTTTTATTTATTCTCCAGAAAGATTTTTACATAAAATTTAACTCAAATTATTTTCCAGTCCACTGGCCTGTATAAACGTTTTTTGTTTTTATTTCTAATCTATTTTTTACACATAGATTTATATATTTTTGTGGTAATTAACAAATGTATGTATTTGGGCCTAGTAGACTTGTGAATGAAACTTTGTTTGTTCTCTCTAATTTAATTATCATTTGTTGTCAGTAGTTGAGAAAGTTTTATTTTATTTAAGATTTAAATTAGGGGTTTGACATACATTTTGTTAAAGAAAACCTCTCTCTTAATGTCTAAAATTTGTATAAAAATACATAGTATACAACACTAAGCTAATGTTTATAAATTCAAACAAAGGGCATTAATATTGTATCAAAGATAAGTCTTCCAGCTCAGCAATTTTATTTATATTATTTAATTGCATACCGGCAGTATAAGAGAAAATAAATGCTTTTTGAAAAGCTTTTTTTCCCCAAACAAAACAGTGGGGTCTCTTTTTTAAATCAGTTGCTTTTTGATATTCGATCTGCGAGAACATGCTGGTGTTCTTGTTTCTGGTGTTTGCCGCCGGATTTCTGGCTTACCTCAAGCTCCGATGGCACTATTCCTACTGGTTCAGAAGGGGCGTGGCTGGCGAAAAACCAGAGTACTTCCTTGGAAACATGAAAGGCTTTGGAAAGAATCTACACTGGACGGATATTAATCTCAGGATCTACAAAAAATTCCAAAACACGGAACGCTATTGCGGATTTTTTACCTTCGTAACCAAGGCGCTTTTTGTAATGGATCTGGAGCTAATAAGGAGGATAATGGTCAGTGATTTTGGGAGCTTTGCGGATCGCGGGCTTTTCCACAACGTTCGAGATGATCCCTTAACTGGAAACCTGCTTTTCCTAGACGGACCCGAGTGGCGGTGGCTGCGACAGAATCTTACACAGGTTTTCACGTCCGGGAAACTTAGATATATGTTCTCCAACATGCTGAAGGTAGGCGAGGAGTTGGCTGAGTCCTGTCAGAAGCAAGAAGGGGAAATTGAGGCCAAGGACCTGTGTGCTCGTTACACTACGGATGTGATTGGAAGCTGTGCCTTTGGCCTGGAGTGCAATAGTCTCAGGGATCCGGAGTCCAAGTTCCGACAAATGGGCAGATCGGTAACTACAAACCCACTCCACTCCACTATGGTTCAGGCTTTCATGTTTGGCCAACCGAACCTGGCCAGGAAATGCAGACTGCGCCTGTTTCGACCCGAGGTAAGTGAGTTCTTCCTGGACACTGTCCGCCAAACTATGGACTACAGACGGAGGGAGAACATTAAGCGGAACGATCTCATCCAACTGCTCATGGAGCTGGGCGAGGGAGAAGGTGGCGATGGCAAAAAGGAGGAGGCCCTGTCCTTTGAGCAAATCGCAGCCCAGGCGATGGTTTTCTTCCTAGCCGGTTTTGACACCTCTTCCACCACCATGTCCTTCTGCCTGTACGAACTGGCTCTGAATCCTGAAATCCAACAAAAGCTGCGCCAGGAGATTGTGGAAGTCTTTGAGCGCTACGACCAAAGGCTCACCTACGAGTCCTTTAAGGATATGCCTTATCTGGACAAAGTGATCTCTGAAACATTGAGAAAGTACCCCATACTTTCCCATCTCCTACGACGCTCCACTAGGGACTACGCAGTGCCCGATAGTGATCTAGTCTTAGAGTCTGAAACCAAGATAATAATCCCCGTACACAGTATTCACCACGATCCAAAGATATATACGCAACCGGAAGTGTTTGATCCCAGTCGCTTTGATCCGGAGGAGGTCAGGAAGAGACATCCTTTTTCATACTTACCCTTTGGAGAGGGACCCCGGAATTGCATTGGCGAGCGTTTTGGAAAAATGCAGGTGAAGGTGGGAATAGCTTACCTGCTCCGGGACTTCAAGTTCGACCGATCGGATAAAACTCAAGTTCCTTTAAAGTTCTCGAACCGTACTTTCCTGATTACGACTCAGCAGGGAATTCATCTGCAAATGAAGAGACTATAAACTAAGACTATGTAAAAACTACTATTAGTAGAAAATATATAATATATTCGTGCATTTCAAAAGCTTGTCAATTGCATTTAATTTAAAAAGCGGTATTCAAAGGTTGATAAAAATACTCTTATCACAAGCGTAGCTATCTCAATTGAATTTTAAATACTTTAATATTTTTGATAAAGGTTTGTTTACATTTTGCTTATTACTCACATAGAAGGTTAAGTACATTATAATTGTACCCAAGTTTTAGAGAATGTACTATGTGAATGTTCATATGTGTAGCTATAATGAATTATATAGAACCTTATGTAGGTGCATTGCCGGCAGTATAAGAGAATATATAAAAGAAAACAATGAGGGGCTTTTTCGTCGAGCTTTTTTCCCCAAAGACAATTTTATTGGATCTGTGCAAAAAATGTTTATGTTTTTCTTTTTTCGGCTTCAGTATTTAAAGCTTTCTATGATGTGCAAAATTTAAAAATAGCAACTTTTCGAAGAAAATAAAAAAAAAATATATAAATATAATGTTATTGACTTTTTAAAATTATACTTTACTGTTTTATTTAGAAATTATATTTTTTTAAGTTTGGCGCCAACTGTCAAACTAATCGATAACTGCGACAGCGACCTCTGTGGGAAAATACCAAGCAATAGCATCAGCTGATAACTGTCGTCACTAAAATTGTTTTTTGAGTATTTTTTTTAGGGGAAGCCCCTAATTTTTCCTTTTTTTTTTTTTAATTAAAATTGTTTTAAGAATCTTAAGGATATGTAGAAAATTTACTTGAATAAACCGCAATTGTAATTTCAAAGAATAAATAAACAACATACACAAGAAATAATTGCGGCCAAATTTTTTTGTAAAAACTAATTTTATTAATAATACATACAATTCTGCTTATAGGTAGAAAAAATGCCTGCACGCAAGCTGTCATTAAGATCCATGCAGTCGGCATTCGGGGGAGTTAAGTTAATAAGTTAATTGGGTTTGCTTGATTCAATGATGACAATGGTTTATCCAATCTCAATGATGATCACAAAACAATGCGGCTCGAGTACATCTGCTTGGGATTTTTTTCGGGGTTCGTCGATTCTATTGTACATATTTATATTATATACGTAATTCTTAAAGGTCTACGGATCTAAAGATATTAGCGTACTACTAGCACGACTCCTTGTTGCAGTCGACAAAGTTGCTGAACTCGGTGGCATTGGGCGGGCCCTCACTGTACAGATAGGTCACGGGCCACAGGCGGGCGGCGGCAAAGTCGCTGAGGCTCTGGAGTCCTCCGGGCCTCGGAGGATGTTGGCTGTACTCACTACTGGCCGCCGCTGCTTGCTGTGGATGCTTCTGTTTCTCCTTGCTACTGGGCTGGGACAAATGGGAGTGGGTTACGCTGTGGACGGATCCGGGCTGAGTGCTATTCTTCCCGGGGAAGTAACGATCGCTGCACTTGCGCCACTGATCGGGCTCATCGCCAACAAAGCACCTGGTTTGAGATTAAAATTTATATAATTACATTTTAGAGTTCTCCTTATTTACATACCATGGATAATCAAAGCCCCGACTGTAGCCGCAGGGATGGTCCGCCTTGCAGCAGTAGTCCCAGGATCCCACCTCGGCTGCATCCGTCTCGCAAGAATAGAATCCCGTTACCAGATTCTTCTCGCAGGGGCTGCTCCGGCGGCAGGGCTTGCCGGATACGGTGTAGTGGCGCCAGGCCACGTCGCCTTTAGCAGACAAGAAGCGGATTTAGTGGGGTCATGGAAGATTTGTTTATCGTTTTGGGTATCGTGGGGTAATCGGTGGCATGCAAACTGATTCTAGCTGGTTAGTAATTTGGAGGATTCGTCTTTTGTTTTGGCCTGGGATTGGGGGCAACTGTACATGCTAGTAGTAAACGTTATTTACACACAAAACACATTCTCCGCTACAAACTAAATATTTATATTAAATTCTAATAATACACAATTAATACTAAAACCGCAGCAGTTATCCGGTTATTTACACTTGGATCGAGGTGCAACAGGTTAGTAGGTTGAGTTTACCCGGTTCCCGGAAGATGTCCATGCGCCGGTCATTATTGACCCGCGATCCCCCAATGGTGTTGACCTTGTCCCGGCAAGTCCAGTCGAAGGGATTCCAGGCAAACAGCCAGAAGTCACGGTCCTTGGTGTGTGTATAGTGGACATCCAGTTTAAGTTCTGTCTGATCCAGATCTGAGAGCTCGCAATTAAAGGAACTGGCACGGGAGCTGGATAAAGTACAGCTTTTAGCAGTTAATTAAACACAAAATGTTTCTTTTCGCTTACCCATAACTAAAAGCAAAACATTTGAAGGGAGTCGTATCCCGGAAACGAATACACTCCTTCTTGCAGGCCATTTCCGAGGGCACAGATATAACCTTCTTGATGGCCGGAGGAAGTAATCTAGCGGGTGATCCATAGCCCAAATAGCAAAGTTTCTTGTGCTTTTCATCTACAATGGGCTGGATTTCACAGCCATGGCCATAGCTGGCTCTCTCAAATATATCAAAGGCGGCATCCAGGATGAGATGACGCTCCTTGTCCATGTCCCGCACTGGCCAATCGCTCAGCTGGCAATTGTCGATCACTCCAGCATGCCTCTGTTGGCCATACCGGAAGGCGAAGGCTCGGCAGGTGAACTTCGTTGACCGGATGCACTCCATCTCGCATTCTCCGACGGATCGCACGGTTAGCGAATCACGAACAATGGACTTGAAGAACCGTGTGGCATCGATGGCACGGAAGAAGCATTCTAATGAGAGTAGATTCAAATGAAGGGATTAAAGTAAATGGAAAACACACAGATAATATGAACATTAGCGATATATAGACATTTCAGGGTGCCATATTGTCGCCCCATGCATTTTTAAAATTTCTGAAGGGGGTCCTATAGAAATTTTGACAAAAAGTATAAAAAATATTTTGTTTTCAGATTTTGATGCAGATTGATAGAGAATCGATCTACAAATCGTTTAAGGTATCCCGCTTATGAATCTGATAGATATTGCCAAAGATACAGCTTTCGCAGTGTGCCATATTGTCCCCCATGTATTTTCCACATTTCTGAAAGGGGTCCTATAGAAATTTTGACAAAAAATATAAAAAATATTTTATTTTCAGATGTTGATGCAGATTGATAGAGAATCGATCTACAAATCGATTAAGGTATCCCGCTTATGAATCTGATAGATATTGCCAAAGATACAGCATTCGCAGTGTGCCATATTGTCCCCCCATGCATTTTCCAAAATTTTGAAGAGGGTCCTATAGAAATTTTGACAAAAAATATAAAAAATATTTTGTTTTCAGATTTTGATGCAGATTGATAGAGAATCGATCTACAAATCGTTTAAGGTATCCCGCTTATGAATCTGATAGATATTGCCAAAGATACAGCTTTCGCAGTGTGCCATATTGTCCCCCCATGCATTTTCCACATTTCTGAAGGGGGTCCTATAGAAATTTTGACAAAAAATATAAAAAATATTTCGTTTTCAGATTTTGATGCAGATTGATAGAGAATCGATATACAAATCGTTTAAGGTATTCCGCTTATGAATATGATAGATATTGCCAAAGATACAGCTTTCGCAGTGTGCCATATTGTCCCCCATGCATTTTCCACATTTCTGAAAGGGGTCCTATAGAAATTTTGACAAAAAATATAAAAAATATTTTGTTTTCAGATTTTGATGCAGATTGATAGAGAATCGATCCACAAATCGTTTAAGGTATCCCGCTTATGAATCTGATAGATAATGCCAAAGATACAGCTTTCGCAGTGTGCCATATTGTCCCCCCATGCATTTTCCACATTTCTGAAGGGGGTCCTATAGAAATTTTGACAAAAAATCTACAAAATATTTTGTTTTCAGATTTTGATGCAGATTGATAGAGAATCGATCTACAAATCGTTTAAGATATTCCGCTTATGAATCTGATAGATATTGCCAAAGATACAGCTTTCGCAGTGTGCCATATTGTCCCCCATGCATTTTCCACATTTCTGAAAGGGGTCCTATAGAAATTTTGACAAAAAATCTAAAAAATATTTTGTTTTCAGATTTTGATGCAGATTGATAGAGAATCGATCTACAAATCGTTTAAGGTATCCCGCTTATGAATCTGATAGATATTGCCAAAGATATAGCTTAAGCATCTAATGGATCTTTCCTTTGATTTTTCCTCTTTCCTTTCCTAAAATTGTTGAATTAAAATAGACTTACGTGCATTTCTGGGATCCGAAAGAGCGGTGGTAGGTCCCGTATCATGACGACGTGGTGGCTGCCGGCACACATCCATGTCATCCGCCATGGAGTAGATGTCATAGTCGCGATCCGGCTCGATGTCCACGTAGTAGTCCAGCATGTTGATTGGTCGGTCACAGAGCATGCAGTTGTCCCGTCCTGCCTGGTTGTATCGGTAACTAAAGGTGTGGCAAATAAAGCTGGGACGCTGATCCGAGCAGAGGCGTTCACATTCCGTCAACGTGGGCACATTGTAGGCATGTTTTACGGCAGTTTTGTGTAAACGGAAGCCCTCGCTGGTCTTTGCCGAGCATTCTATAAAGATTTTAGATTAATTTTTCTGTAAGGTTTTTAATTTTTTTTTCTTACCATCTGGTCCTGGTCTCCTAGTCCACTGCTGACGATAGTCGTTGCGGCGTCTTGGGTAATCATCTTCATAGCCAGATCCCGGATAGCTAAGCACAGAATTGGAATCACGATGGGGGCCTCCAAGCTGGAAGTAATTAAAGTCCTGCTGGTCCTTGCGACGCTGCGACTCACTTAGTCCCCAATAAGAGGAGGACGATGAGGAGGAGTGCTTGCTGCTGCCGCCGTAGCTTCCACCGTAATGACCCCAATTATCCTCGCCACCGATCAAATATGGAACAAACTTATTAGGCTTCTTGTACGGACCCGGTGCTCCCGGCGGACCTGCTCCGTCGCGGTCCAGATAATTGTGCGATGGTCGACTTGGTGGGCGGTAGGGCGAGAAGTCAGGTCCCGGCCTGAACGGAGGTCGGTACTTGTCAATGCGATCCGTTTCTGGACGTGGTGGCCTATAAGCGGAGCTGTCGTAACCAGAGCTACTAGGTAGAGTCTCCCAACGATCGGGTCTTCCGGGCCGATAGTGCGGCGGATCGTGTCGATCTATATAGGGATGATCTCCGCCAAAACTGCTGGGCGGGGTGTGACCAAAATAGCCGGAACTGGAACCCGAACTGGCACCAGAGCCATGCGAGGAGAACTCATAGGATGATGAGGAGGAAGAGGAGCTGTGTGATCCATGGAATTCCGCTGAGAAGGGAGGTCGGTGTTCATACGAGCCGCTTGAAGGACCCGAAGGACCACGATAATGATCCACTGCAGTACTGATCGGTGGTCTATACTGATCACGATCACGATCCCTGTCCCTGTCTCCATAACCTCCACCTCCACTGGGCTTGAAATACACTGGCTGACTGCTTATTGGTCCTTTGGAGCAATCCTGGCAAGCATTTCGTCTGCAGGTAGAGGGTGCATTACGATCCCTTTCATAGTAGTCATAATCCGGATGACGGAGCAGGTTGGCATCCCGACGATCCGGACTGGAGTAGAGGTCCATCTGGGCCAGCGGCATCTCCACCAGTTCGCAGTCGCCCTGCCCATGACCTGAAGGATCCAGCCGGTAGTTAAAACCTTCACACATGAAGCGCCTCTCCCGGCCGCACTCCCGCATGCACTCCTCTACTCGTTCACAGGAAATGGAGCGACGCACCCAGTGCGGTGCTATTCGCTTTCCGGCCAGGACTCGCCGGAAACAGGCTAAAAAAAAGGGAGATCAATGGGTAGTTGCAGTTGCAGATGCTGCGTCTTACGCAATTGTGGCCACAAAAAAAAAGATTGGAAAAAAATTCAAGCATTCAACGTTCGAAGTCAGTGAAGCGAGGCCAGAACCCAAGATCGGGGCTGGGTTACCTCATGGGTGTTGGAAAAGGTCTTCCAAAAAAAAACAAAAAATAATGGCATTCAAAACTTGAAGTTTACAGATTCCCAACATTAAATACTTTTGGCCAAACATTTTCCTTGGTAATCTGAACACGAGGAACCTCTTTTAAAAATATTAAAATGGAATTACCAACTTTAAACAATAACTAGTTGGAAATAAAGAACGGAAGAAGCTACTTTTCCATGTAGCATGTTTTAATTAAAATAATTTACCTATACCTTAAATTTTCCAATTATTTTTTCAAGTGCATTTATGTCCAAGTCTTGTTTCTGTTTCAGTTATGGGTCGAGTTGTTTTTCGATGTTGTATGTATTTTCGCGGCACATCCGCTGCCGTTTGAGTAAATTATGTTCGAGTCATGTTGGCTGCCGTGTACTTCATCAGAGATTATCTCCGGGAAAATTGCTAGCCGAGACGTTGGTGTTTTTCACGCAGAACGCCGACGCCATCGCCACCGCCAACGACAACGATGGAAATTATGCAAATTACTTTAATACGCACTCCGCTTTTTGGTTTAAAGTGCGGCCAAGAACTAAGCCTCCAAGTGGAATGACCTATAAGCCGAAGACCTATACAAATTAGCCCCTTACCTTTGGCATCCTCCACAATGATGATGGTGCTACTGAGATCGCTGTGCCGCGTAGGACTAACAAATTTTGATTCGTTGTCAGCAACGCCACAAAATAGAAGCGACAGTAACAGACAGGTAATCCGCATTTTGGGGGAGGGAGTTTATTGTTCTAAAACGATTTAACGCGGTTACGTAATTGCTAAATTTGACGTTCTGGGCTAATTAATTTCTGTGCAATGTCAAGCTCTTGAAACAATGGGCCAACATTGCCGTACTGCTCTCACACAGGACACGGATACCCGAACACGAAATTTCCGGACGGACGATTTTTGACGCGCAGCGCTGGCGATTCTAATCGCGAATGAACAGCGGCTATGGTCAAGCTTGCGGTTTTATACGGCATTAGAAAAATCGGGCAAGTTTTCGAGCTTTTACGTTTAGAAAAGCGACGAGCTTTTCGCTCGGGCTTGAACTCGGAAATCTCGAACATCTCCCGATCTACCGGGTCCACCAAACGCTCTCGGTTCATCCGAAGCCTTGGGTCTGCGGTTTAATGGGTGTTTGCTGTATATGCTTTGCATTTTTTCATTTTTTTTTCGGTAGAAGATACCTATCTTGGTCGATGATTCAGATGAAAATACGAGGGTACAGATCACTGGGAGATGCGATGATGCTGATGGGAGCAGCCAAGCGTTTCCAGACCTCGCTCAAGGATGCCGCAACACGAAGCGAGTCTTATAATTCCGTTTCAATAAGAGCGAGTTTAATGAGATACTAGGAAAACTAAACAGTTAACCGAATAAATCATAGGCATATTAAGTTGAATTATGGCTAGATTAGCTTCTTATAATTTGGCATGTAGATCAGGGTTAGGTCTTGAAGAGTCTCACAATGTAATTAATGAAAAATATAAATCTTTGTGAAAATCATAAAAATTAATTCGGATAATTAAATTTCTGGTAGAGAATTAAAAAAAATATATATATTTTCAGGTTAAACATAAACTTTTAAGTATATTAATGCAGCCTATCAAAAGTAATCCTTTTTTTGTTTTAAAAAATTCAAGTTTTTTGCTTAAGTCTTTCGTTTTTCTTGAACATAAAAAATGTTGTAACTCGTTATGGTATTAACTGATTTTTTATTACTATTTCCCCATCGAACCTGACCATAGATATCTGACCATCGATCATCTCAGCCGCCCCAGAACTTCCATACCACACCCCCTTCACCAGCAACCAGACAACTTGAGCGCATTTCCGTTTCTGAATCAATGTCACTGCTGTCAGGTGGTCGGTTGGCCGGTTGGTGGTGAGGCTATGAGCTGAAACCACAAATGTGGGTGGTTTCTATGTTTTTGTGCACTGGCTCCGTGTTCTCCATTTGCATACAATGAGTGCCGGAGGAGTGTGTGCATACAGAGTGCAGTTCAACTCAATTCCGTTCCATTCTGATCTTGCACAACTCCGTAAAAAGCCAAAAAAAAAATTAAGAATAAAAACAGAAATCGTATTTTAATATGGTGTGAGCTAAGAACGCTTCCGCCTCGAAAAGAGAATTGTATCCCAATCTTCAAGTGTAAATTACGATCTGTCCCACGCCAAATAAACGCAAATCTAACTAAGTAACTAACTAACTAGCAACACGCCAAGTCGGAAAACACACATAATTAATTGCGACAACGTCATCAAGTTTGGCATTTGAACTTGGATTCTCTTTGCCTTTTGGCATATAGTATAGGGCATGGCTTATGTCACCGGCAACGGCCGGAGCACCACCCGCCGGGTTCATGTACTCCACTTCGTCACACTTGGAAAACTCGAAAGGAAGTTGAGTCGAAATCAAAATACAAATCGTTCTTTGATGATCTGGCTTGGTCTAACTAATTTCAGAAATGTCATAAATCTTCTGCACTTGACAACTCAATTTCTTTTGTAAAACAATGAGATCATATTACTTCAATGGGGGCCTTGACAACGAAATTAAAAAAAGAATACATGTATTGGATAAACTAAACAGAGTACTATGGTATAGTCTAAAGACTAACAAGTTCTTATACAGAGATACTTCCTTTTAATTATGTCTGAAACTTAAAGACTGAATTATTCAATCTGAAATAAAAAATGTCTGGTTACCCTAGAAACTAAAGGTATTACTAAATTCTAGGAAGACCTAAATTTTCATGTCTATTAAGCTACTCCCGCCATTTATCAAAAACTTTGGCCACGGAATAATGTAGTATACCGTTCGCGAGTGGGTTAGTTTCGGAGCTTTTGGCTGTATTTTACAATTATTGTACGAGTTTGTATGCGAATGCGAATAATACTAATGTTTACTGCAACCACCTACCCACTCACCGACCCACCCACCCACTCATCCAACTCCACCACAACAGACCAGATCCGATGAGCATTATGCCCGACTAATGGGTTTAGTTTTGTTACGCAAATAAAAGCGACGGAATGTGGGTCAATCGACCGTCCGTCATCTGTCAGCTCGCCCCAAAAGCTAATGAGTTTTAGTTGTGCGCCATGTTAGCTCTAGAATCTAGATTTAGTTGATGCAACACCTTTTAAGTGACCCGTGTCATTTTCTGTTCTATGGTCTTGTAGGGTTATTGGGATATTTAGGGGATAGAACGAATCCAGGAATTATTTCGGGAATAAGGGTCACTTAAAACCGGATATTTTGTGGAATTACTCACCTTTCAGTTCGTCCATGGGGTAACCAAGGCGATCCCGATCCCGGTCCCTGTCCCCAGACATGGGACGTCCTGAAAATTAGAAAGGGGGGTTTACATTAGATTGTAATTTAAATATTTAAGAACCCATTTTAAAAACTAATCTCAGTTTCAACCACTTACTATTGCCTCCTTGCATAAAATCATCAGGGTTAAAATAGGTGGCTATGCTCTTGTCATCATCATAGCCTCCGTATCCGTCTCCGGGACGCATGGCACTTCCATTCCGGCGGACGTACTCGTCCCTTGGTGGAGGCGGAGAACCTCCATAGGGTGGTGGAGGGCGTGCTGACGGTCCGTTCATGCCGTACCCATCGTGGGGCGCTTGCGGTGGTGGATCCGGACGATTGGTGTAGTCCGGTCGTGGTTCACGATGCGGATCATAGGTGGGACTTGGGCGTGGTCCGTAGGTGGATGGTGTGGAGCTTTCATAGGGACGTGGCGGTGGCCCTGGCGGATAATCAGGACGATCGGCGGTGGGTCGAGGTGGCCTGGCCGCATAACTGGGCCTTTCCTCGGAAGACCCACTGGGTGGCCTTAATGTTGGAGGAGTATATCTCTCCGGAGCACCATAGCTATAACCATTGCCATAGCCCAACCCAAATATTGGCCTAGGAGGACCATGCGGCGTGGGTCGTGGCCCCTCATCCTCCGACGGGCCATACTGGGGTCGATAGCGTTCGTCCACTTCCGGGACATTGGACGCATAGCCACCTGGTATGTAGACCTCTTCGTTCGGAGCCGGATAGTTGGGCTCGTACAGGGTGGGATACTTGTAAAGCGGATACAGATCGTGCGAGAAGTACAGGCGATCGCCCACACCAGCGGGCGGCCCCAGCGAGGGCGTGGGTGGCCCGAGGGAGGGCGGCGGACGTGGCCCATCCGTGTGGGGTGTTGGGTTGACCACCAACACCGGGGTATTGCCCACGTCCAGAGGGCGATTGGGCAGATCCACCGGTGTCGGCCCAGGCGAGATGGGACTGGGACCCGGGATGGGCAGGGGTCCGGGGCCAATCGAATTGTCGCTCAAGTCGAAGCAGTTTGTCTTGCGCGTGTACAGATCAAAGTCGGGATCGAAAATCACGCCCCCCGGCCGCCCGCCGCCCCCCGAGCCGTACTGCTCCGATGACAATTGACATGTGCCGTTTCCGCGTCGATGAACACTGCAAAAAAATACAGATACATTGTATATGTAGATAAACAACTTAAAAATTGGGCAATCAACAAGTGACAGCTCACCCGAACGAGATGGCCTGACACTTCTCCCCCGCCTGGAGGCACTTCTCCTTGCACATCTTCAGCGAGTTGGTGTCTTCGGTGCGGAAGGTCTTCTCAAATGGCAGCATCGCCTCCAATGCGATCCGTTCGAAGCAGTCTGTCGATGTAAGATGCAAAATAAAATAGAGTTGCATTACAAAAGGTTCACCTGCCAGTTAAGCAACACCCTCCCCCTACAACACCATGCCCCGTCGCCTGGGTAACTATTACGTCACCCACTTGCACTTTCAAGGCCACCAAAAACTGGCTGCTGGCTGCTCCACTTCGTCCACTCTACGGTAGGTTAGTTTTATTGACTCTGCAATTGTCTCTATCCAATTGTTGGCGCTCTTTGTTCTCCATATGGATTTGAATTTGAATTTTTATTAAGTTTGCGTGCCGTTGGGACGCAGTTGACTGGTATTAACCCGTCGCCGACCCATAGAATTTTCCTTTTTGGCCAGTACATGAATAATTCAAAAAGGTCAAATATCATAAACAAAACAGAGTGCCATGCTTGATGGATTGGCCCCCAGCATATGGTCATTAGATGGACATGATCTTTTTCGAAGAAATTATCTCATTTTAATAATAATTAACCCAAAAATTGAATAAATTAGTTGGGATTAGAGTGTTAAGTATCCAAAGTTTTCTGAAGTTCTAAAGTTATAAGAACTTTAGAATGGTTTATAGAACTCCTTCACAATTTTATGAAAAAATCTCAAAAGGTTAAAGTTTTTTATTCTTTTGTAACGATTGTTTTTGTATAATTACATATGTTATTATATGTTTTCCCAAACATAAACATAAAAATATATGAATTCTAATAAAAGAAACCTATTAAGGCCAGTAATGACCAATTGTTTATGAAAACTATTAACTTTTATTGAAAACTTTAGTGCATGCTGCATTTTTTATATCTCTATTTATTTAAATATTAAAAAGCCTTTAATACCCCTTACTTTCCCAAACCTCCCCTGCCAACAAGTTAACTTACCATTGCGTGCCGAGACCAATTGATTGTCGACGGTCAATGCTGATGTGGAATCCCAGGTACTGATCAGGTGAAATGCGAGCAGCAGGCACTTTAATCGCCACCCGAAATTATGATCGCTAATCGCAATCATTTCTATTTTTTTTTTGGTGGTGTGGATAGGTATGATATATTGGATCGGATATGTCCAATATCCGTTTGAGCTTTCTTTTAGGACGGGCTCTCACTTGGCTCGCTTGTTAGCACTTCCCTTGGGCATTATCGGCGGTTTCACTGGGACGGACTTTCGGCCAGAAGAATTGCTCGAGGCACCGATGGGATGGACGGAAGATTGCGAACTGAGAGACGGCGATCGGGTCTTCGCGCGTAGAAACCTTCTGCTCTTTCTTCCGCCTTTCTTTGCAGTCGCGTGTTTAAAGCTTTGTTTCTTCTGATTGTTTTTTGTTTCTGTATCTTTGTATTTTTATTTTCTTTGGCTTTCGCGTTACGATTCGCTACTTTTCACATTCTTTTCACCGTTAATTATGTTGCCAAAATATGCAGATCGTTAAAAATGAGCCAAGATCTGCTTTATTTATGGGTTCGGGCAAAGAGCGAGACAGTGGATTAGAGAGGGAGAGCATGAGAAATGATTCTGCGGTTGCGGAAGACACCGTCTCTACATAATTATGATGGGTGGGGTGGGGGAGTCAATAACCTGACCAACCAAGCGTTGCCAAACTCTTCAGGCCTTCTTACAGACGCCGATGACGTCAGAGTTCAGTGCACACCACCAGCACTACCTATGACCTTTCTCTCGTACTCCTAAGTTTTGAAGTTGTCCGATAATTAAAAATTCTAATGACAAAGTGCTCATCAATGCGTAAATCCAGCATTTGTCATCGCAATGCCATCAAGTAATCCCCAGAAACAATAATAATATAATTTTTTTATAGTTTTTTTTTGTTAGCTGCCAAAAAACGAGGCTTGGGAAAAAAAAACTTTAGTGATTAATTAAAAGCTGACAGGCAAAAGAATACTTCTATAAAAATGTCTACTTTTTTTCTGGAGGAAAAATCGTTGCTATTTTCGCCATTCGACTTTCTTTTGGAACACGATTTGGGGCAAGAGGCTTTCCGCTTGCCGAGGGAAATTAAGCTGGGAAATGTAGCGAATATAACGGGAGTTTCCGTTTCGCTTTGACACTTTGCAAAATCTCCAAATCTCCCCAAAATTTCGGCTAATGACATTAAGAAAGCAACTCTTCACACACCTAGTTTCAATTAAGTTTTTTTCGGTTCTTTTTTTTTTAGTTTCTGGTTTAGCTTTAGCTTTATTTGTTATGGCTTTTTTTTAGTTTTTTTGTTATTTTAGTTTAATTCACTTTTAGGCCGTTTCGTTTGGTTTGTTTTCGCTGCGTCGCCGTTCGCACTCGTCGCCGATCCGCACTCGCTAAACAATTGAAACTGAATAAAATTCTGATTTAGTTGTGTTCGAAACTCATCGGAAGAGCAGAAAGCGGCGCAGACGCGACAGTGCTGTGGCAGCGCCGCCGGCAGAGGCTGTGGCAGTGGCAGAGCCCACCTAGCATCTCTCTTTGTATTTTGTTTTTGGTACACTTTAGATAAAAATTTTAAAAAAAATTTCAAAAACTTTTTCAACAATTTTTCAAAAACGTTTTTCAAAGTCAAAGAAATCTTTTTGTATTCAAAATATTTTTAAGAACCCAGTTTTCTAATTTATGCTTTAAGGGTCCATTTCCCTAAACTCTCACCCTTTTTTTCTTAGTGTAATTCAGTTGTTTATTTAGATGGGAGCTCAGGTGAGCCAGCGCCGGTAAAGTGTTTGGAAGTGAGGCGCTAGGAGGCGCTGGAGCTTGGCTCTGGAGATCGTCATCATCATTATCATCATTAGCATTACCTACGCTGCGCCCACTTGAGACTTGGGCCAGTGGGGGGATCCGGGTGCAAAGATACAAAAATATCTGCTTGGGGGTTCGTCGGATTTTCCTCAAAAGTCCCCTTCCCCTATAGCTGGCAATGACTCTCGAAAATTTTTAAACATAAAATTGTAACAAAAAGAAAAAAATTTAAAAGTTTCATGCACTTCAAATGCTCTTTCCAATATAGTTTTCTATTATTATATATTTTTTTATAAAGTTAACTATAACCATTTCCTCGACTGTAAAATGATTCTTGTAAACCCTTTTTTATGACATTTTTAGTGGTTGGTATTTAAAAAGTTTACGATTTCATTACTTCTTTCAGCTTTAAAGTTTTATGATAATTTAGTGAAAAAATAGTCACGTTCTTTTAACTTTTTTGCTGTAAAATATGTAGTTTTAGTTCATAAAATTCTGCAGATTTTGGAGCACATATGTATAAGCATTTTAAAAACATAAAAATAAAGCCCAGAAATACTTACTTCATTACTTAACCAATATACCCTGAAAAAGATCCGAATAAAATCATATTTTCGTGATTATTGTGTGTTGGACTTCTTTTGATGCAATTAGAGAACAGAACTCTCTGCTAGAAGTCGGAAATTAGTGGAGCAGTCGAATCAGAACCATTCCCCGGGAGAATCCAAGAATCCACGAGGTGGAGCTTAGTGAGTTTCCTTTCCGCATTGTTGGCCCCGCTAAGCGGTGTGAAATTCAACTTTAACGGACACCCCCAGCTACTAAGACTGGCCACAAAATGCATTTTGGGTGATTTTAGTAGCTGTGATTACTGCTCAAGCGTTAATTCGAGCGAGTTTTCACAAAACGCTTACGCTCGCGAGGCTCTTTGGGGAGATGGTCTCCAAAAATGATGGCGAGGGGGCAGGTGGCAGGTGAGCCTTATAATTGGCGACACCTTTAAGTGCCGACCTTGTCATGCTCGCTGGCGTCGTCTAATTCAGGCCGGGGTTGTTCTTCATCACCGCTTCGCCCATCGACTTAAAAATCAACTCCAACGCCGGCGTCGCAGTCGCTGTCGGAGTCAGCTTTGGAGCCGGCAGAGGCAGGAGCTCCAAGAAGGCAAAGATGAGCTCATTAAGCCAACTAATTTGCATATCAGGAACTCTGGAGAATTCTGAGCCACTGCCACAAAAAGTTACGCCCCTCTCAAAAATGATCATTAGGGGCTTGGCATTAAGACATTAATAAAATGAAATATTAGTAGAGGGAATTTGCCAAAAAAAAAAACTCTAAGAAATGTGATAATTAAACATTTCTTTTGAAAAATATTTACATAATTTAGGCAACGACTTTTATTAAATAATTTAAAATGAAATCAAGGAATGGAAACTCAATTATTTCTTGAAACAAATAATTTTTTAACTTTTATTTCTCAGAAGGAGTTGTTGTTATAAGCAAAAATATTTTTAAGCCCACTTTTTGAAAAGATATCCTTAATTTTAAATCACCCTAGACAGTTCAAGTCTATTCAGTCTAAAAGCCAAAAGTCAAATGACCAAAACAGAAGCCAAACAATTTTTGGACATTCACACGCATTGCACAATGAATAGTTTTTTTTTTGTAAATATTTTGATATATTTTTTGGGGGCTGCTCCAAATATCAGAGTGGACTGAAAAACCGTTTGGCTTGGCACTTGTCCCTCGACCCTATCAGAGCCCCAAAATCGCATCGGACGCGAATCAAAATTCACCAAACATTCGATCACGGTGGCGATCGGCGCTTTTGGCGGACGCTTTTCGCCTGCCAAGTGGGTGAGGCTTTGACCACGTTTCTATCTATCTATATACATAGAGACTCTGTAGACTATCCGCGTGAAAATTTCAATTTGAATTTCGGTTGCGAGTCGTGTCTAAGTTGAAGATATTGGCGGCAGATACGATGGTGACCCGATAGGAAACCGATGCCGATGGTGCCGCCATGGTCCGTGTCATGTAATACGTATCGATTGGGTAAACGATTTCGGCGAGGGCGAAATAAATTTAATGTCAAAAAACTGATTGGCAGTTGTGGGCCAGCAGGAAGCCCTTTCCGGCCAACACGTACCAAAAGCATCCATCTTGGTGGAGGGAGTTGGTACGGATATGCAAAGTAGAAGGAAATATAATATAAAAAATTTTAAGTTTTAACAGGGTATAGCTTGGGAAAGCTATAGAGATTATAGTTTTACTCTCTTTACATTTCCCACTTTCACTAATCATCCTAATTACTACACTGTCTGAGAGTATTGGGTCATAGTATATCTTTAGAGTTTTGTAATTCAATTAACAACTTGGAAAGAAGCACTAATTGGTTTACAATATAAATTTAAAACACTGGCATTTAAAACAAAAAATATAACAAAAAACTAATTCCCCTTTATAAATCAAATAATATATTTAAATAAATAATTTGATTGATAATCTATTTTTGTGGTAAACAGCTTACCGCAGCGTATACTTGATTTATGAGGTACTTATCTCGTATCAATCAGTTTTGAAGTTTTTATCATAAACGATTTGTCCGAAGCTCTATGGACTTATGTCCGCTCATGTTAAACCAATTAAATGAACAGCCAGCCATGTTTCGCCGTCCAATTAGACAGTATTGGCCTGGCCAACATACATACATATGTATATCTGCATAACGACGAGCACTTGACGTGTTTTACGTCATGTTGGTGCTGAGTGAGCCATTGAGTTTTCATCTGTATCTGCATCTGAGTCAGAGTTAGAGTCAGAGTCTGAGTCTACTATATTGACCAGGTGTTGGGGATTGTAGATATCCTAATACACTGAAAGAAATACATAGCTCTAAGGCTAGAGAGTTAAGAATACTTAAGCCATTTTAGAGTCATCTTAAGTATGTATCTGTTAGTAGTTACCAAGTTTCAAGTATTTTTAATTGTTTGTTTATGTAAAACCTTTCTCTCTGTGCACTGATTGGACCTGGTCTAAGTATTTTGTGTGGTCCACATTCACAGAAATCAAAACTCACCTAACAGGAAGTATTTGCATGCGCAGATCCCGAGACCGGGATCCGAGGCGCGTTCGCAGAAAGCGAAAGTAATCATCCACCGCAGTGGCTGCCACTGGGGGGATTATTGTTTAGCTCCCGGGCACGCATGGCTTCCAGGGACTGCACGGGGTAGGCAGGGAGGCGTGGCACTGGAGGCATGGCATATTTATCACACAAATACAAATAACCATTATGCAATTTGGCATGTCTAAAACGAGCAATTTGCCGCAAATGCAATAACATTCAGCTGGCCAAGGAGGGCGGGTTAGCCGATTGTATGTAAGTCGGCTGCAAGCTTGATGGTTTGTGTTTCGGGGCAGGATGGTTGTGGTGGCGCCCTGAAACGCAGAAATAACATACTGGCCTACATATACTAGTACACCCATAAAAAAAAATTGGCGAAAAGAAATGAAAATAGGCGAGTGATAGTGATGGTTTAACCCATTTGTTAGCAAATTGTTTTAGCTTGTTATGGTTTATTTATGAAGTTGGCTTTTGTTAGTTGGGCTTTCATTTGTTAGAGCTTTAAAAACGTAAATAAAACATTATGCTTTTTAAAATCTCATGCTTCTTTGGGTTAACAAATCTCTTAACAGTTGATTTAACAGCCAAAGTCGAGGGAAGTACCGCAGCAACATGCAACACAACAGCACAGCAGCAACATGCAACAGTTGGTTGCAACATCTGGCGGAGCTAATGTTATGTCAGGGGCATTATAGAATGCGCCAAAACCCAAAAACCCAAAAATGAAAATCGAATTCCCGTAAAATCGTGTGATACCTGAACCGATTAGTGCTACCAATGGTTAAGTAATGGCCCGAAATGCGTTTTATTGCGAATCTTCGTAGCTTTATGTTGATCGCGTAGAGTACGTGATTCGTGATTTGGTTTTTGTTTTGTTTCGTTTTTTTTTTTTTTTGGGTACATCCATGTACTGTGTTCCTGTAATTTTCATGCTGACCCGATTAATTGACACCACCAGCGACAGTTACCAAAAAAAAAAAAGAAACAACAAGCCGTTCAAGGTCGTTCGGTTGAGATGTCTTCCAATTTGATACGAAAGGGCCTACAACTGGGATGGATTAGCGTGACAACTTTGGACTCACTCACGTTCACTTTTGTTTTGTGGTGACCGGTGTAGAAGGCCGCTAAGTGATCCATTCAGTAATAATATATGTGCTACTTGGTCATTCACTCGGAATGATTTCCCCAAAAACTAACCAACCAGCCAGTAAGACAGCCATCCAGTCAGCTAGTCACTCCACTAGTTGTCGTCTTGCGATTATGATTATGAAATTAATGTAATTTACCTTGTATTACACAAAGCATCAACGATCTGCACTGAAGAGTCAAAGTTCGATTGTCTGCGACATACTATTCATACGTACAGTAACTGAAGCATGGTCCGGCAGCCGGGCAGTCCGCCACCAACCCGCCTAACCCTCCGCCGGGTCTTGACCCCAACTAAACAGAAGCCGCCAGAGGAGTCAACAGCTTTTGCCCGCATTTATTAACATGGCCAACAGAGTCCACTGTTATGGCTATTGTCGCTTTTGCTGTTGGATTTCGCATTGCTATGGCATGTAGCAGCCAGCAGTCGCTGTTGTTGCTGCTGCTGCTGCTGCACCAACGTCACGTCTTTCATGTGCAGCGCAGTCGGCCCAATCGCTGTTAGCCATGGTATAAAAACGGATGAGCCGCAGCCTGTGGTTATCAGTCACCACCTGACAGAGTTCGGTTTTTGTATTGCTCCGTGCCGAAGAGATCAGCCAATCATATCAGCCATGTCCGCCCTGAAAGCCTTCGTAAGTGCGGCAAGGATATCGGTGTTTAATGTGTTTTGAAAATCGGTTTTGGACTAACCAGTATAATCTCTTAAAAGTGATTCTTGTGTTTTAAAAAGAGACCAAAGAAAACAATATTTAGTTTTTCAAAAATCTTAAAAATGAACAATTTAAACCTCTTGGATATTCAACAACTTTACAAAATCATCAAGAGAATGTAGCATTGAACGTTTTTCAATATAAAATATTGTTTTTAAATTTGTTTAAACCAAAGAACTTAAAATTTAAAACTTTATTTTTAAAGAAAAAAGAACTATAAACTAAAATTTTAGTTTGCCTTTGAAATAAGACCAACAAGACTTTTTCAAATAAGACCAATAAGACCATAAGACTAAATAAGACCAACCAGTTCATAAAGACTTTAAAAGTTCTTAGGGTTTTTTACATTTTAAAGAAGTTTTCAAACTCTAAACTTTTAAAAACTTTGACTATTTTTAACTAACATATCTTAATTTAATATTCATCTTACAATGCTTATATTTTTTAAACATGCCACATAATTGTTTCTTTTTCCACAAACTATGTACCATATTTCTTTCATAACACCACTCTGGAAACCGTGACAATTCAGTTATCTAACTCGAAACACTTTAAAAATTAATTATATTTATTAAGTTTTTCACTCAATAATTTTGCAGATAATTTGGTAAATGACTAAAACGCTTCCTTATCCCCATTTCAGATCTTTGTTGCCCTCTTCGCCGTGGCCTACTGCGCTCCCAGTCCCGGTTTCTTTGGCAAACAGTAAGTCTATGAGTTTAGTATCTGAATCTGAAGTATTTGTAGCTCAGTTCGATTTGCACCTGAACCGATCCATAAATAACCCAACCGAATCGATAAAAATAGTCATTTCCCGCTTTATGCTAAACTAACGAGCGATCGCATGGGTTTTTAAACGCTGCGATTGAGCGGCTGGTATATAAAATATATGTGTCCGATTCGATTGCGATCGAATTGAGCAATCAAAACGCTTGTACCACTTAACGTACCGCTGGCGCCCGTCGGCCCCCGCAGTCTGAGCCGGCCGGCGGATACCATTGAACTTAGCCGATCTTGGCTTGGCTTAGGAATTTCACAGGCTGCGATTGGCATTTAATTCATTGTAATGCGCGCATAATTGTGCGACTTAATTGCCAATTCCATTGGCTGCCAAGACGCAGGGTTCAAGCAACTGATTAGCTAATAAAATAAAGAAACAAACACGCCATGAGAGGTGCCAATCTGACCGACCGATTTCACTTTCTGTCCGCACAGCGAGCACCACACAATCCACGTCCCATACAAAGTGCACACCGTGCACCACCACCACGTGCAGAAGGTGCACGTTCCGGTGGTGAAGCATGTGCCAGTGCCAGTCTACAAGGAGGTGCACGTTCCCGTCCACCATGTCCACCACGAGGAGATCCCCGTCCCAGTCCACCACGTTCACCATGAGGAGGTCCCCGTGCATCATGTCTTTGATGATCATCACGATCACCATGGCTGGGGCTCCCACCACGGACACGGATGGCTGTAAGCCGTTCTCGGGAAGAATGCTGTTTTATTATCCACCCACCACCACCTCAGCAAGTCCAATTAAAGTCCAACTAAAGCCTGTAAATACTGTAAAATGTCTAAGTTAATGATTGTAAATAAAACAAAAACAATATATTTCGACTGTAACAGAAAAGTTTCCTAAATCTTTATATTTCGATTTTAAACTGGATCGGCTAATATATCTTTTTCTTGTAATTAAGGTTATAATTTCTCAATATTTCTCACTAATTGAAATGATTGAAATATTTTCACAAACATTTCAAATATGGAGCAATACCCCAATTATCAAAAATGTTCGATTGGCAGGTGAATTGGAATTTTGCCTGGGAATGTGATAGTTTCGATTGGATTATTGGCCCATTAGTAAATCCCATTGCAAGACCCTGTAATTTGCAGTTGCACTTGACCTTGGCTCTGCTACCTGAAGGCGGCAATTAAGCCGAAGTTTTGCAAGAACGACTTTCACAAAGCACTCACTCGACCAGCTCCGACTGAGGTCGACTGCCCTCCTGCCGGTACCGCTTGCCTCTCCGCTCAGTCCCCCTGATACAGACTTTGATACAGATTCAGAAATTCAGGGGCTACCCATTCCGATCCGGTCTGGTCACTCGGCTCCACTCCTTCCTCGAGTAATTCTAGAAGATAGGGGCGTGTCGAGGTGCATTCTCTTTACATGACAACATGGCATAAGGTTCCTAGTTTTATTGCCACTTGAGGTTGACAGCTTGATCCTTGAAAAAATTCAAGTTTTAATTAAAGGAAATGGAAAGCATTTCAAGGTCTTTAAAAGTACTGAATTTTCCCCATCCCTTCCCTTCTCATTATCTCTGAATATTTAAAAACATTTCTTGAAAAATATACCCTCATTCCCATTGTATAAAGGTCATATTAAATAAAATTCATAATTCTTTGACCAACATTTGCATTTTATTCGGCGCCAACAACAAAGAATTTCAAATTAATGTTCACTAATTGAGAACTGGGGGATAGGCGAAGCGTTAGAGGAAACTGCGGGTAGCCGCACAATGACCACCGGCCATCCTAGTGGCAGTAGGGGAAGTTGGGGCACTGGTGCGGCGACACTCCAGCGGGATACAGACGCTCCGTCCATCCGGGCAGTGGGGGGGCCGCCACAGGAGCACCACCATGTCCGGCATTCACATCGCAGTACGGATAGTTGGGGCAGGTCTGGGGATTGACGCCAGCCGGATACTTATCACCGCCAGCGGAGGGAGCGGGAGCCGCGTTCCAAGAGGGCTGTGGCTGCCACTGGGGCTGGGGCTGCTGCCACTGAGGTTGCGGCTGCCACTGGGGCTGGGGCTGTGGCTGCCACTGTGGCTGCGGTTGCTGCCACTGGGGCTGGGGGGCGCCCCACTGTGGCTGAGGGTTGTGCAGACGCGCATTATCACAGATGGGGAATCCGGGGCAGTCCTGGGGATTAACGCCAGCGGGATACTGGGCAGCAGGTGGGTGCTGGGGCTTGGCCAAAGCCAGAGCCAGGCAGGAGGCGAATAACTAAGGGAGGAAAAATATTATTTAATATTTAAATTACGTATTAATTAAAAAAAGGAAAGTAGAGGACTTCTTTAAAAAAAAAAAGGTTTCCAAGATATTGAAGTTATTCCCGAATTTTAGGTTATTTTATAATCCGATTTTAAGGATATGAAGGATACAGTTTTTTAGTTTTTTAATTAAACTAATTTTTCATAATTTAAATAAATTTATTGTAAAATCCCAGTTTTTATTTTCCAAATATTTTCAGATTCAAGGAGCTTCTAGTCCACTTACCAGCTTGAAGAACATGATGGCTGTGATGTGTGGGTGGATGTTTCTGGTAGGTTGGGTCGGTTGGTTAATGGTAATCCTTGGCCAAATTGGACTATGGAGTCGTAGCTCAAAACTTCCAATTGGGTTCCTGGTCAGCGCTGCACTGTTGCTGGCGAGCCGGCCATCAAGCTTTTATAGCTGATGCTGGCTAGAACCGAGACTCTTGGCCAAGTCTCAGTCTGAGTCTGAGTCTGGGGCTCGAGTCTCTCGGTCTCGGCCTGGCTCGGTTTCACTTTCATTGCTGTTGCAGGCAGGCAGGCAGTTGGCTGCTGCTTTACTTTGCTTTTTCTGCTCTGATCTGTGCTTTACTTTACTTTACTTTACATTTGCTTTTGATTTTTATTGTTGTTATTATTGTTATTGTTTTTGTAGTTGACTGATCTCGCGCATATTTTACTTGATTGGCCCAACAGATTATTATGAGTCTTTGTTGCGGAGCGCGGACAAATAAATCGAACGGGGCCGACAAACCGACAGACAAATACCTATATATATATAGGTGTATATCGGGGTAATATGCTTAAACACCCAACTATGCAAACACACACACGACTGTGCACTTATATCGAGTTACCGACATGCCGTCATTAGCAATGAACTAAGCCCCCAACTTGCAATTCGGCCAAAAAATCCAAAATCCAAAAAAAAATGGAAAGAATCGAAATCTCCTGCCTGGTTTTGTATATATTGTTTGTTGTGCACTTTTTGACATCGTTGGCGCGTTGGCGTTTTTACCAATTTTCGGGAGGGTGGGGATCAGTTCGTGAATCACTTTATTCAGAGGGCGGCAGAATCGGAATCGGATCGTGTAAGAGGCACAGGTCGCCATCGCCATCGCCATCGCCATCGTAGTCGCCATCGCCTTGGCATGCCACTGCCACATGTCGGCCCGGAAGGCAGTCGGAGTCATTGTAAACTGGTTTCGGTGCAGCGAACTTGCACTAGATCTCAATGCACAACATTCGAGCGGTGGCCCGAGGTTCACTTCTAAGTGCTAGGGCTGGGCAATGTCACATATGTAGTACAGGTATCTTAATGGTAAGATTTTTAATAAAAATTTTCCTAAAAATAATTCGTAATAATAAGGTTAATTTTATTTGTTTAACAAACTTCATACATTTTTATTCAAAATTAAAAACATTCTTTAATTTCATTTGAAATTTTTCTACATTTTTGAAAAACATTAAGGAGATTTCAGGATGCCGATCCGAGTATTTAATGATGGATTTCTGCAAATGAAACAAGAAAACATTAAACTTTGTATATAATACCTTAAAAAATAATACAAACCAAAAATAAATCAAGCAATGGGTTAAGATTTGATCATAAAGACCTCCCCCACATATTTTCTCAATATTTTCCAACCCTAAATGCAGATTTTCCGTTTCAGTTCTATTTCCGATAACCCGTTATAGGTTGACGGCCGTTCAGATAAATCCCACACACCGCCAGTACTGTTATTTGCTCCACGCAGTGCCAGCGAAACTGAAACCGACACCGCACCGCCTTACGCACCAATATGTGCGACTACTTCCTGGGCAGGCTCAGGCCCACCAACTGGTCGGGGTTGGGGTTGGGGTTGGGAAATTCAATTACTTGGAAAAACGAAAAAAAAGCGAAAATCGCACTGCCACACAAATTATGAGCTAATCAGGCAGCACCCAGCGCCCCAGGTCGGCACACGACTCCGTCACACATACATGTTGCACCTATCCATATAGCATATATGAACATGTTATGTTTTGGGGGACAGACGTGCCCAATTGTTGGCAACGGTGTAACAGATTTAGTTTAATTCTTATAATTTGTGTTTGCCGCCAGCCATTGGCAGGAATTTGCGCGGGCGCGGCACCCCAGTCCAATCTACTACCCAGTCCCCCCCTAATATATCTACATCTTGTATAGTGAGAAAAACTAGAAAAATTCATATTCATGTGTCCAGATATCATAACACAATTATATGGTGCTTGGAATAGATTAAATAGTACCCTAATAAAAGTGATTATATAAAAGGGAGATGGTTTTGGAAGTAAGTCTTTAAAAAACTAAGGTTTTTAAAACTTTCAATGGAGTTTAAAAAATATTTTTAAAGAAAAGCTGGATAAAGTCATCTATATAAGTCAAATATATAATCATTTTATATCATATTTCTTATTAAATCTTTAAAAACCTATCATAGAATCTTTAAAATTTATTCAAAACTACTACCTTATACACTTCCTCTTCAAAACTAAAACATAGTATTTCATACTGAACCCATTTTATTAATAGTTTTCGATTTTTTCGAAATTAAGACCATTTTTTGGTCACAAATATGCATTTTTTTCTTCGTGTAGGCGGTGTTGGCCGGCTAATGCGTTATGTTACGTTGCCAGCACCACCAACCAAACCACCATCTAGCCAGCCAGCCAGTCCAACCGATCGATCTCGTTAGCCTTGATCAATGGCCCGGAAAAACAGAATAAAGCAAAATAAAAGCCAGCGAAATTGAAATTGTTGACCGTTCGCATAATGCAGTGCTATGTAGTCTGGAGCTGGAGTTGGAGCTAGACCTGAAGCTGAAGCTGGAGCACACACATATGTGTGTGTTCTCGCGCTTGTAAGTGACACGGCAGTGTCGGTGGGGCCAGTAAGTATTGTATCACTATAGCCCCTGGGCTAAGAGATATCGGCATCGTTGTCGGGTTTTGCCTTTTTTGTCACACATGCCGCAGCGTGCTTTAAATTATTATGCCATTAGTTGTCGCCTTATTTTGTCTAGATTTTAATTATCAATTTCCTTCTATGCTGACAGTTGGACGGGGTGGGGCGCCGCCCACACCTCAAGCGCCTAGGTGGCTGACCCACCGAGAAAGTAAACGCGACGACATATTCGAAGCATTATCATATGGTATTCTATTGAAATCAGTACTTCGACAATGGATTAAATTCATGATAGCCGATCATTCTTCTTATTCAAATTTGCTTACCAACAAAAAAATTAAATATGTAAACTAATAAGCAAATAATCCAAGAATTTTGCTTGACTGGAGCCTAGACATTGTGGTGGTGGTGTATGTGGGTTAAGTGCCCTCAGGAGCTGGCCGACACCTCAGCCATGCTGACGTCAGCCAGAACAGGTCCAGTCTCGGGTTTTTCGCTCTCGGTTGCAGTCTCTTCCGTTACGATGGTGGCATTATCTTCAGCATCAGCTTCACTAGATGGCACATCCTGCAGCAGGGCACGTCGTGCGGATGGCTCCTTATCTAAAAATTCAAAATGGAATTATATTATAAGGCCTATCGCCTAATACATATATTTATAGATATACCAAAAACCCTTGTACTCTGCTAGCACTGTCTATAATTAGCATGCAAGAGGCAAGTGCATTAAAAATCCAATTTGCATATTAAATGGCGGAATACGACCATTTCGAATGACTAGTTGATTTTTAAAGCTCTTCTGCATGTCTAGAATGGATCTTTTTATCGAAAATACTAACCAGAGTCATCATCGGATGATTCACTCTCAGAGCTATCGTTGCGCTTGGTCGACGCAGGGGTTGGTGCCTCCAGAGAAAGCCGGGGGGCGACGGGACGCTTCTTTCGTGCCGGGTTAAGTACATTGCAGAAGGCACACCGGAACGTAGTGTACTCATACTCCTCCTTGTGCAGCATACCTGTTGAATAGGTCTTTAGATTAACAGTTCTTATAGAATCTTGAATAGAGTTTTGTACCGTTGTGGGCGTGGCACGCCTTGCAGATCATGCCGAAGCGATTCTGTGGAGTATCGCCCACAATAAAGTCCACAATTCGATCGATAGCACTGCGAGACCGCTCATCGACAATGGGGAACGGTGAGCGGCGTCGCAATTCCTGAACGGCACGCATCTGCGGTGATGCTGACGTCAACGTCATCGCTTGTGTGCTGGCGATGCTGTTGTTCAGAGTGTTGTTGTTGTTATTGTTGTTTCGATATACGCTGCTGTAGGGAGTGACCGCTCGCTGACTCGGCTGCTGGCCAGCAATGGTTGTGGAAAGTCGTGCCGCCGCCTGTGGGGTCCTTTGCTGGTCTACAGTAGTGCGGTTGAGAGCCTGATTGCTGGTGTTGCTCAGGCGGAGCTGTTTCTTATCGCCGAAACGCTCCAGGAGATTCACTGCCACCTGGACAAGGGAAAGCATGAGATAAGCATGAGTTGTAGAAGCGGGAATGGTGACTAAGTCTCACCTTGTAGGTCTCTTTGTCCATGACCTGTTCCAATATCTTGCGCTTATCCTCCTTCAGTCGCGCCAGCTTATCGCCATTTTTGTTCAGCTTTCGTTGAAAGTACCACGTAAACAGACGCCTCAGAAAAACGATTCTGCAAAGGGCACGAGGGTCAGGGACCTGATATTCGTAGTGATCTCATAGCCGAGCGGGCCAGTACTCACACAAACGGAAAGAGGAGAAGCGGAACCAAGTACATGAAGCATTCCTGCAGTGTTGGCGGAAAATAGAAGAAGTACCACAGTCCGAAGCCCACAATATACGCGCCAATGGTGAAGCCCACAAAGTTGTTGACGAAGCGCCGCTTCCGTTCCTCTGTGTTTATCATGTACTTCTCCAATGCCTGGATCTGCGTCTGCAGCCCCTCCAAGACCGCCTCCGTAGACTTTACCTTCTAAAATTAGATATTCGTGGGCACAGCGCCATATTTTCGGTCAGTATATTGCCACAATGCATCCGAATCCAATTGGCGACTCGGTCATGGCTAATACGCACCCGGAACTTGGACAGCACGAATCCCATGGTGTATGTAGAGAAATATAACTAAAAACGACCAAACTCGATCATTTACTTGATTATTTTGCTATTTAAACCGCCTGCTGCGAATTATTTGTTGTTTTTAGGGTTGTTGATAAAATATCAATATATCGATATAGATATCGATGTCTGAACTATAAATCATTTTGTACAAGATTTTTTTTAAGTGCTTAACGGCTTGTGTCTTTGCTCTATGGTTTGTGACTTTGCTCTAAAACATTTTTCAAAAATTTATAAAAACTATGGATTTATTCTCTAATCTTAGTTCAATCTTCTAATGTACAAAATTTTATGCTAAAAAAACCATTGCCATTCTTTGGTATATTTAAACATAGAACTTAATTTTCATAAAAAAATGTCCTGCTTTGTCATTTTAAAAATAAGTTCGATGGGTATTTTAATTTAAAAGTTAATTGAATTTACAAATTGAAGAATATTTATTATGAAATATTTAAATATTTAAGTTCCAAATAATTTTTTATCCAGAATAATTATAATTCTAGCTTTTTATAAGCTTTTATGGCTAGATCTAGCTCTAGAGTGACCAAACAGAAAATATCGCAAAATAATTATATTATATTATACTCCACCATATTATATTATATTGTTTTGGTTTCAAATCGCGATATTCAATTGACGGTTGCCCGGCAAAGTGAAAAGTTCAAAGACTCCCGCGGTTCCGCCGGCTTTTGGATCGGTCGTCTATATTCCGCGTGTGTGCGACTTGAAAGTTTTCCAAAACAAACTGTGAGCGTGGTGAAGGAAGATGTTGCCGCTGCAGGAGCAAGTGCAGCAGCAGGAGTCGCCGGCACAGTCCCTGACATGGCAGCTGGAGGACTATGCTTACTTCCGGAAGTGCGGGGAAATCACCGCCTCGCCGGACGTCCAGTGTTTTGGGTTCAACTGCGCCTTCTGCCCGTCCATTTGCCTGCAGTTCTCCGTGTTCATGGACCATATTCGCCTCCAGCACACCCAGGACGTGAGGCGGCGCTACGAAGGCGCCCAGGAGAAGGTAGAGAAAACCACTCAAACGGACCTGGTCATCATGGAGATGGACTGTCCGGAAATGTATCCCGTGGAAGCGGTGAAGAAATCCAATTGGCAACCCGTGCAAACGGAAGCCATTGACATGGACATACAGCTGATGAGTCTCGTCCAGCAGACCCCCGCACTGCCGCCGCTGGAAAGTCAAACAACAGCAATCGCGCCCGAAATAGACCTGGTGTACGTGGTAGAAAATCCGTTGCCACCCTCGCCGCCACCATCGGCGGACATATCGGGCGATGAGCTGACGACCACCGAGGGTTGCCTGGGCCTGCAGGCGGCAGACCTGGATCCATTTGCCGTGCTGCACGAGGTGGTTATGACTCCGCCCACACCCACCCACTCTGGTTCGATTCCGGCCGCCGCAGAGACGCCCCCCGCCTCAGCAATGGTGCTACCGACTCCAATGCCGCGCTACGAGACACGACGCGTGGTAAGTTCTAATCACCTATGGTGGGTACAGTGAAAGCTTGATAAAAAGGAACTTGAAATATTTGATGTAAGCTTGTAGCATATTTTTCTTAATTTATTTTTAATAAATTACATCATTTTAAGCAATACTATAGTTTTTTTTTGCCTTCATAATTTAAATATTTAATTGTTGAAATTTTAATAAAAAATGCACAATAGTACTATTTAGCGGGTAATTACTGTCTTGAGTAGCTTCCCCCTTTTTTTTTTCAAGCAATTTTGTAATGCAAAAATGGCTTTCCTGTCTAGAAGAGAGGGGTGGGGTGGGGTTGGACGGAGGCAGCTAGTTCCGGAGAAGGTTTCCCTGGTCACTTGACCTTCAAAATAACGGCGCAATGGCACACAACACGAAAATATTGAGCAAAAAGTGTGTCGCGCATTTTGCCCGCTCATGCCTCGCCTCTCTTTTGTTCTCCACCATCGCCACTCTTCCCCCTTTGAAGTCCCGTTTTTCCCTCCATGGCCTTATACATAGAGGGGGGGTTTTTTTTTTTTTGGCTGGAGGGGGGGGACCGGGAGACGTTTTGTCAGCCAGTCTGTCACTTTTCTTGATATTTTTTTTGTTGTTTTCCAAAGCAACGCAATTTTTCAGCTTTTTTCTTCAGGTTTTCACTTTTGTTTTGTTCGATTTTTTCCATATTTTTTGTTGTGGACTTGAAAAATATAAAAAAAAAACAAATTCTTTTGTTGTTCTTACATCTTAATTTATGTGCCAACACAAAAAATAAAAGGTATATACATATATCTCCGAGAGAGGCTGAAAAACACTCGAAAATTGGGACACAAACAGTACAGTATTTTGGAATATCGGCCAGCTTTTCTTTGTTAAAAATAAAAATATCTATTAAATGGTAATTAAAACGATTATTTATGTCAACAGATACAGAAATTTTGGTTGTCGTATAGCTTGGAAAACATTACTTTCGAAAATTGTTATTCTATTGTGAATGAACTTGAAAAGAGACATTTTCCAATTGACAGAAAGTCAAATAGCTTTGGCTATGTGATTGGCACTGTACTCTCGACCACTTAGTGATAAATGGGCCTCAATAATTCAGGTGATAATCGACTTAAACGTCAGACTATAGATTAAAATTGGTATTACCAAGAAGTACTACGTAGGAGAGAAATTCTGATGGCCAAAAATAGGTCCAATTGGCTTTGACGCAAGTGTAAGGCAAATGTCAATAAATAATTATTTCACACTCGAGCTAATTTAATAATAATTAAAGGAAAATATTCAGAATAGATCTGTGAGTAATACGGAATGCAAGTGTCGTCAGAATAGAAATATAAGTAGAATTCTTGATAAAATCATTACACGAACACTTGCAATAGAAATTATTGGTAATTTGTTGTTAGTGGTTTTTTTTTTTTTGGTGGGGTTCTGCTATTATCAGCATTTGGGGCTTTATCTAGACCCTAGACCCCAAAGAGGTAAACAAATAGAGGGGAACAAAATTATCTAAGCTTCGATTTGGTAAGCATTTGTAGGCCTTTCCACACAGTGGTACAGGTGTTGTTGGCCCAAAGATGAAAACAGAATATATAGTAGTTTATTATGATTTATATCCATAAACAATAAACGTACGTCTCTTGGCCACTTGAAGTCATTTAACCTGGAAATGTATGTTATATACGTATATGTCCGATCAATCGATCGTTGAAATTGTCGTTCTGGCCAGACACCTCCTCACCATATCACTTCCTCACTACCTCACCTCATATCGCTGGGTAATAAAATAATTTTCGATGTTGTCGGCTATTGAAAGTGGCTTAGAGATAAGAAGGCACTATGGGCCTTAACTAAGGAGGTTTTAATGTTCATTTAAACACTTGTAAATTGGAATTTTTAGAGCACCTGCCATAAAAACCAGCACAGTCTATAAATCATGGTCTCATAGTCATTTTCGAAACATTATATATCAGTATACACATATAATCACCGATTAGCTATTTGTTTTGTGATCAAATCAGAGAGTTGCATTGAAAAAACATGACCCATATATCATTTACCATAATCTAATCTCATCTTCGAGAAATTTCGATTTTTTTGAGGACAGCTAATGCTTCACTTCTTATCGAGCATATATCCCATGCCTATTAAATAATTAACAAGTTTAACTAAATATTTCGATATGGAGAGCGGGACTTATGGGGGGCTTTCCACCCGCAACTCTTGGTCTCCGATCGATCAGCTGAGCTTTATAATCAGTCTAATTTAATTAATGCAGCCTTGTGACTAAAATCGAGTAACTGACACCATTGATGTTTGTTTTAAGTTTTAGTTACGGTTCCGGGCTTAAGAGTTCCCAACTCCGGGCGTATTTTTCTTTTTTTTTTTGTCAGAAATTGATTGCATTTAATGCCCCCGCATTATCTTTGAATCTGGCTTACGTTTTGTGGGCTCTATAAGGTTTCCTCATTCGGTTTATTTATTTTTCGGTAGGCTTCCATCAGGGCGTGGACAACTTTTATGTTGCTGGCCATAAAATAAAAAAAAAAAAGAAAAACGAAACCCTGCCATGGGTTGCGTGAAAAAATATTCTTCATAATTTATTAGCTCACGTTGGCTTTATTACATTTGAGTCTCGTGTTCTACCGGATTTTGCATGTCGTTGCCATTGTTTGTTGTCATATGGCTTGAAGGGGGGGATATAATTTTTGTATAGCATACAAATGTGAGCTGAGAGACCTGGCTGGGTCTTACCACATAAACCTACATAGAGGAGCCCTCAATTAAAGCTCCGAGCGAGTCCCCAAAAAACTTGTAATCAACCATAGCCTTAGGTTATACATGCCCTGACACCGTTTCAGGCCAAAAGCCTTACAAGGGTATTAAACGGTGTATTAATGGGCTTTCCCATGAATCTTTTATTTGCGAATCGACCAACACCATTCGAGGGCTTAGAGCCCTACATGTCTACATGTCACCTCACTAGCTCGGTCGGCATTCCCCCGGCAAGAAATGGCGCCAATGGCGATTACGAGGCCAGGCGGAATGGAATGAAAGTTATATCTAAATAAGAATTTTTCATTAATTAATCCGTAGAGCAGCGCATCATCAAAGAGGCTTTTGATTGGCTTGCTGGCGGGGTGACAAGTGCATTAAACAAACGCGCTTTTAATTGAAACTGCTCGCACCCGGAATTTAATGGCTTTGATCCAGGCCGCATATCAATTGTTATACAAATACATAGAAGTTCCAATAGAAGTTCCAAACTCCAGAACTTCTATTCTGCGGTTTAATTTCCATTTATGGCTTCACTTCCCCAGCCCTCAGATTTTCCACAATTCAAGATCCAGACAGTTCTAACGAGTTTCAAGCCCCTTCGATTGAACAATTTCTTAATAAATAAACATAAAGGGGGAGCTGCACACTCAACTAACTCAATAAGATTGGTCTGCGATCGGGTTTCCGATATATATACACATACATACATATCTATCACAGACTGCCTCAGCTGTTGTTTGTTTATTGAATTTTTATGCAATTTTGTTAACTGGATCAATTATTTGAATGGCGTGTTCGGTAAACACTGCCAGCTATGTAGTACTGGAGCCGTGACGCAGGCTAAGGGAACTTTCTGTCTGTCCAGACCGCACCCCACAAATTTGGGGGGTGAGTGGTTGTCCGGAGACCAGACCCAGCCCAGCCTTTGTTTGTCCAACTGGGTCTTTTGTACTGCAGGAATACTCCCATTAAGTGGTTAGTTTGGATATAGAAATCTAGGTTAACCTTAGTGACTTGTGATTCTTATAAAAATAATATTTTAAACCATAAACTATAACCCCTAACCTTTAAGAACTAGAATACCTGGCCAGACCTGGTTGCAATGCTATGCAAGTTGCGATATAGAACCATTTCCTGTTGCCAGGCAGACAACGTCAAGGATGTCAGTGGCGGCTAGGGAGACGAGGGCCCGACTTTAATGGGTTTACACTGTTCACCTTTCCGATGGGCTCAGGCTCTGGTTCTGGATCCGGGTGGCTTGCTGGGCTGGCCTGGCCTGCTCTGGTCCTTGGGTCGAGTGGGTGTGACCCGCGTTGTAGCTCCACTGGCTCGAAATGAAAATGTTTTCGCCCGCTTTACCACCAAAGGGGGCGAAACTTTCATTTCGACGTTTGAAATTGCATTTTTAATTGGGGCCAAGGTTCGTGGGCACTCCATAGCTTTAGCTTTTGGCATTTTTTTTTAGTTATTCAATTAGCTTAGTAAATTGATGTTGTTTGCGTATTGAATTGCGAAAGGTCATGGTGCTATTTGATTAGTAAATAATGACTGTTTCCTCAAATCGATTAATCAGACAAAGGCACTGGGTCATTTACCCTTCATTTTGAGGGCACAGGTGTACCTCCTCCAGTGGGAGATGAAATTACAAACTCCCTCCCCCTCCCAAGTCAGAACAAAATACATTCTCCTTATCTGGAATTTATGTACTTGTTGTTTATTCAGCCTGGCCAGCGGTTGGTAGAGCAATTAATTAAACATTAAATACCAATCGCCAATAACCCTTAATGCATTCCAGCTATATACACCTTGCTCTAACTGACTGACTGACCCCTATCCGAAGGGCTATCGACTTTTTTGTGGGTGGAATATCGACTGGTAGACCCTGGCTTTCTAGACCATTAGGCGACAACTTCAATGGCCAATTATGGCCCAACAAAATACTTCAAAAAAATTAGTCAAAAGTCATTCAGAACATCGAGTTTTTTGAGCACCCATTTCATTTTATGAGCAAGCCTTAGTACCATTAGTTCCAATCTACCCCAAAAGATACCCCAATAAATTTTCATTTCTAGAACTAGACTTTCTTTAGGAATGTTTCCAAGTCTATATAGAATGTATATATATATATGTAGACCAGGTGAAACCGGTTGATACTGCTTATCGTTCACGGATACTTTTGTGCAATGTTTGTCAGAACAAACAAATGCATGAAACACAAAAAAAAATACAAACAAAAGTTTCGTTTAGATCTCGTCTGGCGGATTCTTAATTAGGGCATTGGAATTTTTTTTATTTTGGGAGGGGGAGTAACCTTATCGAGAACATGTGTTTCAGTTTTGGGGTAGGTCGGATTATCTTTTCAATGCAAAAAACTTAACTAAATTTGCTTAAAAGTAAGCCCATAATTCCATAGCCCTTGCATTACTCATTGGAGCCCCCCGAGTTATCCGAGGAGAGGAAGTACTCCAGCTTGATATACGATATATTAGCATTTATGACGCCGGGCTTAATAGGAATCCGATTCGAATACTCATCGTAAGCGAAAAACCAAACCAAAATAACAAACGAGCAAACAAATAGATACACGAGGAATAATATATATATAGAAATATCGGGCCAGTCGGGGCAGCCATATGCGAGGGCGATAAGAACAATGACGACGACACAAAGGCCAATAGCCGGATGATATTCTGATATTTGAGAATATTGTATAGTCGTTGGGGACACTGGCATGCGGGAGCGGACTTTCCCTTTTTTGTTTACGACTTCTGCCCGGCTGCCTGCCAGTATAAATAAATACACACATATATATAGAGAGAGTATGGTATTCCGACGATAAACTCTCGGCAAGATCATGTGGTTATCTGGAAAAGATACACCACCACCACCAACGGCAACTGTAACAAATTTATTTATTTATGCGAAATATTTATTCTATTTTATGCAGGCACTGCAGCGTAAGCTTCGTCAAGCGAAAAACGAGAATCCATTGGAGCTGGAACTGGAGGAATTGGAGGAGCTGGAGGAGGAAGAGATGGAGGTAGAGGAGCAGCCGGAAAAGAATGTGCTGGAACTAACGCCACCGGCAACACCCCCAACCCCAGCACCGCCCACCTCGCCCACCAGCAGCATAGCCAGTAGCTTGGATTTCCAATCGGTGAGTAAACACGATCCCATCATCGAGTGTGTTGGGTATTCTATATTTGTTTCTATAATTTCCAGAGAACACGCCGTGAGCTGGAGAGGAACCGCGACTTTGTCAGTTCTCTACTGAAGGAATACGAACGTATGGATAAGCTCTGGAATCCCCGACATCCCGACTACAAGTACAATGCCAAGAGGAGTGTCTATGGCGAGCTGGCTGCCCCACTGGAAGCCATATGCCACATGCGACTGACGGGAGCTGAGATATTCGCGGTGCTCAAGGAACTCCGGGGCAGATACCGCCGGGAGCTCAGCAAACTAAACGCCCTGGGCGGGAAGTACAAGTCCCGGCTCTGGTACTTTGACAAGATGCACTTCCTCAGAGGTGTGATTGAAAACAAAAGAGCCGAAAGGGAAGCCAAGGTGAGGTCCACTAACTAAGCAGACTAGAACATATACTAAATGATAACCCATACTAGGTCTCCAATGAGTGCAATGAGAGCGAAAAGTCCTGCGAAACGGACGCCGATTCGTGCAGCAAGTCAGCTCTCTACCGAGAAGTACTCAGCTTTATCCTCGACGCCTTCAAGCGTATGGAGTGCCTGTGGAACCCCCAGCACTACGACTACTCCAGTTGCTGCAAGAAGGAGCTCTATCGGGACATATCCACCCAGCTGCAGGAGGATCTCAACTATGAGCTTAGCGGCGAGGAGTGCTACAAGGAGATCCAGAAGCTGAGGACCCGCTACCGCAAGGAACTGCGTATGGTCATCAAGCACAAGGGCCTGTACCTGCCCAAGCTATGGTGCTACGATGAAATGGAGTTCCTGCAACCCATTTTGCAGGAGCAAATCTTCCACAAGATCAACAAGAAAGTGGGTGTGGTGGAGACCAAGCAGAAGACCAAGTTCATCGACGCCAGCTCCATCCAGTTCGCCACTGCAGAGGATCAGCTGCAGTTCGTGGAGATCTACCGGAACTACGCGGCTCTCTGGGATGTAGATCATCCCGACTATCGTTCCAATGCCTACCGAAATCAGGCCCTGGGCCAAATGCTGGAAGAGATTAACACCACCTTTGCTTCAGGCTACACCACCGAGCAGCTGGAGAAGACCCTGTTCGACTTGCGGAAGGACTTCTCGGCACAAAAACGCAAGATACTCACCGAACCCAGCGACACCATCAGTATTCCCCTTCTGCACGCCAAGTTGGCGGAGTTTTTGGAGCAGAATGTCGGACCCTTCCGCTGCGATGTGTGCTCGGAGCTGGTCAAGACCTGTGACCAGTACAAGGTGCACCGATCCGGGCACGATGGCACCCAGCCGTTCATCTGCACCCTCTGCGGGAAGGGCTTCCAAATGCCCTGTAACCTGACAGTGCACATACGTCGCCACAGAAGGGACTTCCCCTACGCCTGTGAGCAGTGCGATAAGCGCTTCGCCACCTCCACCGAGGTGGCCATCCACCTGCGCACCCACACCGGCGAACGGCCCTACATCTGCGACCTGTGCGGGAAATCCTTCAAAACTTGGTCATTCTTCGACATCCACCGACGCCGACACCTCAACCAGTCGACCTTCCACTGCCCGATCTGTGCCAAGGGCTTCTACGAGAAGAACCGCTTCACGGATCACATGAACAGTCACTGGGCGATCCGCAAGCACCTGTGCACGGTGTGCGGCAAGGCGTTCACCACCTACGGCAACCTGAAGAAGCACACGGAGCTGCACCTGGCGGTGAAGAAGTACAAGTGCAGCGCCTGTGGCCGGCGGTTCGCCCAGTTCGCCAGCCTGCGTTGGCACAAGAAGAAGGAGCACTCCGCCGAGACGAGTGCAGAAACGGAGGAGAAGTAGACCTCCCACTCAAGGCACTCTACTCTGTTTACACTGCAATCGTAGAGGTTTAAGTTTTTTCATCGCGTACTTAACGTTATCAGTAGTACCTATAGCATATCGTCGATCTAGCACTAAGTAATCTATTTATTTAGACTCTAAGTGGAACTGATAGATGGCCAGAGGGCCAAGAAAGTGAAACCAAAAATGTATTGTTTCTCGAATCTGACCAAGAGCTGGTTGCAACCAGATTACGCTGGACTTTTATTCGCCAGAGTCGTAAATCTTCCATCCATCCAATCATCGTTAATGTATATATCCTCCGATTGGCTAATTTCTCGAACGTTTATTGACTTCAATTCCAGTCCCAGGCTGATGAAAGTGCAAGTGACAAATGAACCAGAGAACCCATCGCCAAGAACCCAACGCCCTTCTCCTCAATTCGATTTCATTAAATTGTTGCAACAGAAAAAATTACGAGTACCAGCCGGAAAATGAAAATTAATTGCACCCAATGAATCGTCGAGCAAGCCGAGCATATATCTAGACTCCAGAGCCAAATGCATTGAACTGTAACGCAGTAATTATCCAAAGGCATTGCTAAATAAAATCGAAAGCTAATCAACTGTCGAGGGGGCGTTGGAGGAGCTCCACAAATTAAAAACAATATATCACCAAAGATAAATAGGGCTGGGCTCCAAAGCGCGATTTATATTCTTTAAATATTACCGCCATAAATATTTATTGTTTCGAGTAATAGGCTTTGGAAGTCGGCACGAGTTAGAAGTTTTTTTTTTTATTTTTTATTTAATGTTTATGACTCTTTATGTGGCAATAAAAATACTTTAAAGTGAAATGTTGCTCTTGAAATACTTATTTTTTATATTTATATTATTTACCTATAAGTGTCGTAGGTTTATTTTAGTTTTTGGCAAATCTTTCAACTCCTTTTGGCTCTTGGGACGAATCAGCATCTGTACGGACTTCAGGGAACGGAAACTATACCAGGGCTCCCAGTATATCCCTTGGACATTGTCCACCTCATTGTTAAAGTACTTGCCATTTAAGTTGCTTAAAAAAAATAAATAATAATAAAATTAATAACTTAATACCAATTGTAGGTATTTTTGTGAAATGCTAAAGCCTCATGTCAGAGCCTTGATAAGAAAAGTTTAATAGGACTCTGCTTATCATATCATAGTAGTTGAGAATAAAATTCTTAAAAAAACTTAAAAACTGAATATATTCTGACATATTATAACTTATAATTATAAGGCATTTTTTAATCTTAGCCTTACCTTCTTGAACAAAAATCATACCACCATGCTCCATGATGATACTCGGCACAATTCATATGGGTGAACTCATCGTTGTCCCGGTCGAAGGTCGAGAACTTCATCTTGTCGTGGGTGCGCAGTGCGTCACTGGCATTGCCTTGATAGTGACCCAGAAGCTTCAGCTCGTAGCCTTCCTCCTCACTGCCGATAAGGAAGTCATCGTAGTGGGCATAGCTCCACTCGCCGTTGAACCTCCTAAAGCTAATATACAGCTCATGCGGCTGGGATTTGGTTATTTGATGCAGTTTCTCCAATCCGATGAAGAACTCTCCATTAAGTTTCCCAAAGCCCTTACTGTATGAGTCCCAGTTCCGGTAAAAGTTCACAGAACCATCAGTCCGTCGCTGAATAGCCAACCAACCGGCTCCAGCGGTGGTCAGGCCTTCACAGGCCACTAAAAAGGGCAGGAATCCAGGGAGGTGGAGCAAATGTATTCCGGATGATTTACCAAAGGGCATGCAGGTCGTGGTGGCCGCCTCCCAATCCGCCAGTAGGTCGTCCTTCTTCTCCCGGAATTTCTTTTCAAAGTACGCGGCTTTGACCCGGAAATGATTAATTAATGCCGTGCTGGAAGTGTTTTGTTTTTTTAGCTCCGTCAATAGATGCTGTTTCCTCTTCAGCCTGGTCTCATACACTTTCACTTTGGTCTCCAGTTCCTTGATCTTCTCGTCCTTCTCCTTGATGGCAGTGGCCTGGGTGGCATTTTGGGCTGTACAAGTCTGGGTGAGATTGTCAAGCCGAACCTGAAGATCATCACTGGTTGGGTTTATGGTTTGCAGTTTATTGATCTCAATATCCTTGTCCTTGATGGTGGCCGCACTCTCTGCTATTTTCTCCATGTACACGTCCAGGATATCATCCAGATCCCCTTTGCTAATTCGAATTGTTTTGTGCTGATCGATATGTACTTCTGCCAGCTTTTCCGGCGCCACTGTCACAATTGGGATTAGTGTGGCATTTGCACTAAATATCTCAGTTTTGTTTTTAGAGTCCTTCAACGGCTCCTTGCTGGATCCTGGCTTGGGTTTTGGGGGAACTTGCAGGGAGAAGGCATATGCCAGCAAAAATACTATTATTACCACTTGGTGTTGCATTCCGATATGGATTACTAGGCAACTACCCACAATGAAGTCCGAATTCAACTGAAATCGTCGGAGAATGCATTTTTCTAAGCTCAGCAAATCAGGAAGTTAAAATAATACATAATATGCAAAAAGAGATAAAAAATATCTGCCAGACGACGCTCTTGAACTTGTGAAACAGACTTTTCATTTAATTCCAACTTTGTTTTCTAACTTTTATTTATAGGAATTATTATACAAATTTCTTGAGTAGGCAAACTAAAAAATTTTAAAAAATATGGATGAATATTGACAATCGATACACAAATCGTTTAGGGTATCCCACTTATGAATCTGATGGATATTGGCCAAGATACTGCCTTCGCAGTGGGCCATATTGTCCTCCCCATGCATTTTCAAATTTTTGAGGGGGTCCTATAGAAAATTTGACAAAAAATCTAAAAAATATTTTGTTTTCAGATTTTGATGCAGATTGATAGAGAATCGATCTACAAATCGTTTAAGGTATCCCGCTTATGAATCTGATAGATATTGCCAAAGATACAGCTTTCGCAGTGTGCCATATTGTCCCCCCACGCATTTTAAAATTTTTGCAGGTGGTCCTATAGAAAATTTGACGAAAAATCTAAAAAATATGTTGTTTCCAGATTTTGATGCAGATTGATAGAGAATCGATCTACAAATCGTTTAAGGTATCCCGCTTATGAATCTGATAGATATTGCCAAAGATACAGCTTTCGCAGTGTGCCATATTGTTTCCCCATGCATTTTCCAAAATTTTGAAGAGGGTCCTATAGAAATTTTGACAAAAAATCTACAAAATATTTTGTTTTCAGATTTTGATGCAGATTGATAGAGAATCAATCTACAAATCGTTTAAGGTATCCCGCTTATGAATCTGATAGATATTGCAAGAGATACAGCTTTCGCAGTGTGCCATATTGTCGCCCCATGTTTTTGTTTTCTGATTTTGATGCAGATTGATAGAGAATCGATCAACAAATCTTTTAAGGTATCCCACTTATGAATCTGATGAATATTGAAAGATATGGCCTTCGCAGTGAGCCATATTGTCCTCCCCATGCATTTTCAAATGTTTTTGGGAAATCCTGTGAATTTTTGAAAGAAAACTTAAAAAATATTTCATTTTCAGATTTTAATGCGCTTAGTAATTATTATCGAATTTGTTATTAATATCATATAATATTATCAGTCTTATTATTAATATAAGATACCCAAAGATACCCGCCTGACCCGAATTTGAAATTCCCGCGCTGCCTGCAACAGAGTGGCAACCTCAGAGCGTGCCATGTTGGCAATGCCGCCCATCTTCAACCAGACATTCAAGTATACAGAATTTTTCTAAAAGAAAGTTGATTGTTAACCCGAGCTCTCGAACGTGAAGGAACGTCCCGACAGAAGTGGAAGTTAATTCAAGATTTTATTGAATTAATTGTGAAATAATTGAAAATAATTAACAAAAAGTAGTGCCTGAATCAGTCACACACATTGGCTATAAAAAATAGTTAACTAAGCCAGGTTTTCGGAGGCTATTCCTATTGTGTCCAATACGTCAGCAAGTTACTATTGATTCCAGGCCCTAAAAAGTGACTAAATTAAACTAAAAACTATTAAAAACATGGCTAAAAGTTCAATAATGAGAAATATGCAAGAATTTCGAAAGAAATTGAATTTTAAAGAACGAGACTGGAGAGTCATGAAGAACAAAGAAAGCCATCGAAAATGGGGCTCCGCGGGGCAAGTTGCAGCCGCAGCAGAAAAAACTTGATGGAGCGCAGCTGCAGCAACTTTTCTCTATATGTACTTTCGAAGAGACACACAGATATGGATGTGACTCCCCCCCACCTCCATGTGTATGGCCATGCATATCGGGTGTACAAAGAAAACGAGTCTTTGTTCTGCTCACCAATCGATGGAAAATGCAACAACCACATCGGAAATGAAGGGTGTGTATTTTTAGGTCTCCCTTTTTCCCTCTTATATTCTATTTGCTTTCCACGAAGAGTGTTCGTGAGATAAACAATTATCTTATGGCTACATTTCCCTTTTTTTTAGAGATTCTTCCAATCCTGACTGTCATGGAGAGGGAGAATGACTTCCATTAAGATTTCCGGAAGGTAGGCCTTGAATGACCTGAAAATTGGTCACCATTATACTGACCTGGAGCTTATCTTTACAGTTAAGAGGATCAGAAAGTAGGACCGATTTGAGGAGATATGCTGGCAGGACTTGGTATTTATGACTACTATTCTACTTGCTACCAAAGCATCCATCGCTAACGACCCACCAATTCCACCAAAACAACCACCACCACCACATATACTAAGTATATCCCAGGCTGTGTAAAAGCGTATCATGCCACCGACCATATTCTTTCTATATCCTATGTGCATATATATCGATAGAGTGTAAGTGTCTTTCCAGGTCAACCATCTCCAAAAACCAAACCAAACCAAACTACAACATCAACGCATCGTCACTAATCCCTTTCTATATTTTATATGCCATATATATATCCCATATATCTCAATAAACCCAATACTCCAACCGATCCCCATTACTGACCAACTATTTGCCTTGCAGTTTCCAAGTACCAAACGGCGTACGCCTGCGAAGGTAAGAAACTGACCATCGAGTGCGATCCCGGTGATGTGATCAACCTGATCCGAGCCAACTATGGCCGTTTTTCGATCACCATCTGCAATGACCACGGCAATGTGGAGTGGAGCGTCAATTGCATGTTTCCCAAGTCGCTCACAGTACTGAATTCAAGGTAAGATGAAGATTTTCTTCAAAATATTCCATACCCCTCTATATAACATGAAACCCCTCCTCATTTATTAAAGATGTGCCCACAAGCAAAGCTGCAGTGTCCTTGCAGCCACAAGCATGTTTGGGGATCCCTGTCCGGGGACCCACAAGTATCTGGAGGCTCACTATCAGTGCATCAGCGCTGCCCAGACCTCCACCACAACCAACAGGCCCAGTCCACCGCCCTGGGTGCTGAACAACGGCCCACCGATCTTTGGCAATGGCAGTGGCTTGATTCACCCACCTGGCTCGCCAGGAGCTGCCCCGCCGCCACCACGATTGCCCACACTGCCCGGCGTGGTGGGCATCAGTGGCAACGGAGGATTGTTTAATGTGCCTCCACCTCATACAGTCACGCACTCGACGCCCTCGAGCAGCACTGTGCCTGGGAGAATGAAGGGCGTGGCTACATCCACGACTACCACCAAGCATCCGACAGGTAGACACGATGGCCTGCCGCCTCCACCGCAACTGCATCACCATCACACACACCATGGCGAGGAGACTGCCGCTCCCACCAAGCCGAGCAGTAAGCTCCCGTCTGCCGGAAATGCGACGGCACCATCAAACACCCGCATCCTGACGGGCGTCGGCGGCTCCGGCACCGATGACGGCACCTTGTTGACCACCAAGAGCTCCCCGAACCGACCTCCGGTTACGGCTAGCAATGGCTCTCCAGCAACCGGGAACAATAGCGTGGTGCGTACCATCAATAACATAAACATGAATGCCGCCGGAATGTCTGGTGCGGATGACGAGAGCAAGCTCTTCTGTGGCCCCACCCATGCGAGGAATCTGTTCTGGAACATGACGCGAGTGGGCGACGTAAATGTCCAGCCCTGTCCAGGCGGAGCAGCCGGCATAGCCAAGTGGCGATGTGTGCTGATGAAGCGACTCCCAGACTCGGGGTACGACGAGTACGATGATGATCCCAGCTCGACCACTCCCGCTCCCAGTGGCGGCGACTGCCTGCACAACAGCAGCAGCTGCGATCCGCCGGTGAGCATGGCCCACAAGGTGAACCAGCGGTTGCGCAACTTCGAACCCACATGGCACCCCATGACACCCGATTTGACGCAGTGCCGCAGCCTGTGGCTGAACAATCTGGAGTTGCGCGTCAACCAGAGAGACTCTTCGCTCATCTCCATAGCCAACGACATGTCCGAGGTGACGAGCAGCAAGACCCTTTACGGAGGCGACATGCTGGTCACCACAAAGATCATTCAAACGGTTTCTGAGAAGATGCTCCACGACAAAGAGACCTTCCCCGATCAGCGACAGCGCGAAGCCATGATCATGGAGCTACTGCACTGTGTGGTGAAGACGGGTTCCAATTTGCTGGACGAGTCTCAGCTGTCCTCCTGGCTAGACCTGAATCCGGAGGATCAGATGCGAGTGGCCACATCCCTGCTGACAGGTCTAGAGTACAATGCCTTCCTGCTGGCGGACACCATCATCAGGGAGCGGAGCGTGGTGCAAAAAGTCAAGAACATATGTAAGATATATATAGATTCTTTAGGTTATTGGTAATACAAGTATTCTGTTCCCCATTAGTGCTGGCGGTGCGAGTCCTGGAAACAAAGACCATTCCGCAAAGCGTCATATTCCCAGATTCGGATCAGTGGCCTTTGAGTTCCGATCGCATCGAGCTGCCCCGTGCCGCTCTCTTGGACAACAGCGAGGGTGGTCTGGTGCGGATCGTGTTCGCTGCCTTCGATCGCTTGGAATCTATTCTGAAGCCCAGCTATGACCACTTTGATCTCAAGAGCTCTCGCAGCTATGGTAAGTTTATCTTAAGGCTTAAGCATAAGACCTATCCTAATCGGGGTTTCAGTTCGCAATACAGCCATCCTGGCCAACGATAGCAGTGAGTCCAACACGGGGGAGATCCAACAGCGTATAAGGATACTCAACAGCAAGGTGATCTCGGCCAGCTTGGGCAAGGGAAGGCATATCCAGCTATCCCAGCCCATCACCCTAACCCTGAAGCACTTGAAAACTGAGAACGTGACAAATCCCACTTGTGTTTTCTGGAACTACATTGACCAGTAAGTCCAATAAACTCCTTAGTAGTCCTTCCATAAGCTAACCTTATCTCCCTGCAGCGCTTGGTCCGCCAATGGCTGTACCCTCGAGTCCACCAATCGCACGCACAGTGTCTGCAGCTGCAATCATCTGAC